CCAGAACTAAATGACCCACATTGACCTCACAGAGAAAAGGATCAATATTTTCTAGTTGATGGTTCAGGAACTGAATCAGCACAAAATGATCAACTTTCAGAATGTGATGATATGATAAAAGGATTGAAATCAACTCGTTTCCATCTGTCATACTGAGCAATGAGCTGCAGTTCAAATACAAGCAGCAAGAAAAACATCATTAATAGATTAATGAAGAAAAACTGGAGCCATAAAATATCAGCAGATCAATGATGGACAGAGCAGTCGGAGAATCCAGAGCCTGGAAGGAAACATGGAGAGAAAAACATCCACTGAGTTTAAGATCCTCAGAAACTTTGAGACAAACTTTGAGTTTCTTTGTTGATCAAATGTTCTGGTTCTGCTGGTTTGGACTCTAAACCAGTTTGACTGGATCAGATGTTAGAATCAGTTCATCATGTTTCTTTTACATTCAGGGAAATTAATTTATACATTTTTATTATTGATTTCTTCATATTTCAGTTTTAACTGCATCCTGTTGGTTCACATCTTTTATTCTTTATTCAGATTGTGGGACTGCAGTTTCTCAGAGACCAGCTGGACGTCTCTGTTCTCAGCTCTGAAGTCCAACCCGACCCATCTGACAGAACTGGACCTGTTCAGAACCAACCGGAAGGTTCTGGACTGAAGGATCTCTGTGGTTTTCTACAGACTGAAGGCTGCAGACTGGAGAGATTGTTGTATGTAATTGTTTTTTTATTGATATATTCTATTTTCTCTGTATTTGATCATAAATCAAGTTCATTTTCTGATAATCAATATTTTCTGAGTTTGTTCCTGGATCCAGAGTTTAATTTAGTTTCTCTGTGTAACTGAGTTGGACCTGCTGATCTGAGGTCAGAACAGGACAGCATTCGGACCCCAGTGTGTAGAAATCCCCCTCAGGTCAAGCAGGTCAAAGGTCATCCAGTCCAGAAAAGTGAATTCCTGGAATCTGACAGGAACAAATCAATAATCAATGATTGATGCTTCAACACTTTGATCAGAACCTGGAATGATTTTACTGACTAAAATCCTCCAACACATCATGACCCAGTACCAGGTTCTGGTTCTGGTTCTGAAGTCAGCAGGTCTTTATTGGAGCAGCAGCTTGTTGGCATTAATATTCATGAGAATCTTTAACTGGTTCTGTTGGACTGGTTAACCTGCATCCTGTTGGTTCACATCTTTTATTCTTTATTCAGGTTGAGGTTCTGCAGGTTGTCACAGATCAGCTGTGATTATTTGGTCTTAGCTCTGAAGTCCAACCCGACCCGTCTGACAGAACTCAACCTGAGAGGAAACAACCTGGAGGAATCAGATGTTCATCAGCTGAAGAATCTTGTAGAAACTGTAAAGTAAGTAAATGTTTGCAGTGAGTCCAGCTGCTGTCAGCATATTGAACTAAACCCAGTCAGCATCAAAGCAAAGATCCAGTGTTCCCAGTAAAGCTGCAGCTTCTCAGTGGGAGGAGAATGGTTCAGGCTTCCTGATTGGACACAGAGACAGCAATCAGCCAATCAGAGGAGCAGCAGCTTGCTGTGTTGTTGCTGTGTCCATGTCTCCAGGATGTCCAGCTGGACTCCAGCCGTCCAACATGTCTAGAGACAGTGGTCCTCATTCATCAAACAGCAGCAGATCTGATCTCAGACCTGCTTGTTCTCTCAGTTCAACAGAAAACAACTGATCAGGTTCATCTTGGTCACAGCTCTGAGATCAGTCTGACTGGAAACCATCTACTGGATTTGCTGCGTCACTGACTGCTGCTGGAGAGGCTGGAAACACTCACTGATCTGCTCTCCTTCCTTCTTCTCTCTGCAGGTGGAAGACACCTTTGTTGTCCTGCTAATCCTCAGAGGTTGAAGCTGCAGCAGTTTGAGTCTAAAGAGTCTCTGGATCAAGATGATGACCTCTGACCTCAGAACATTTTCCTTTTCTATTTCAAATGTTTTCCAGACGTCGATCAGGATGTTGAAGATTTTCAGTTTTATTTTTCATCTGATCTGTTTGATGATCTGCAGGAACAAAAGAGAGAAAATACTCTGAGTTCAAAATAGTAAAGTTCAATTGAGCAGAAAAATGAAGCATAAATTTCATTAAAAACTTGTTAATGGGACAAATTGTAATTTTATTCTGTTGTGATGAAAAAAGTTGATCTAAAATCAGACATGATAGCAGCTCTATAGATTCAGAGCCAAACAGTAAAAACTTCCTCTGGATCTGTGGCATTAAATCCACTTGAGATCCAGACGTCCTGACCAGATCCTGCAGAGAAAAGAAACAATATTTGAACGTGGATCATTTGGACTCAGCTGCTTGGATGTGTGTTTGGATTTGAAAGGTTTTGTTGTGAAGCAGAAAGTTGATGAAGTTCACAGTGAAGACGACTTCAGTCCACCTGAAACCTGGTTTCACTCAAACCGTCTTTATTCACTTTAAGTTTCTGATGCAACAAGAAGGAAGAAAAGGTCAAAGTTGAACCAGAGATCGACTCCATGTTGCTCACAGATGTGATGGGATCAGTTTGCACAGCTGTAGTTCAAGGAGAACAGTTTTATTTTCCAGCTTTTGTTGATGGATGCAAATTTGCATCAGAAGATGAGAAAATAACTTTCTGTGGTTTATTTGTGTGGATTTAAAGTGGAACAAGTTTAAAGAAAAACTAGAGGAGAAACCTGAGCCAGCGTTCTGACAGACCAAACACTGAGGAACCAGAGTTTGCATCGTCAAAGTGACAAAATCATCTGAATGTTGTGACTCGTTTCCCATCAAATCCCTGACAGGAGAAGCAAAACCTCACGTCTCCAACATGAAGCTGCAACAGGATGCAGAACTTCCACCGAGCGTCACGTCACTCACAGCAGATCAGGAGCCTCGCTCTTCACCTCAACACCGCCTAAAACCTGGGACCAGGGGTTAAAGGTCATCTCCTGCACCTAGTGCAACATTTCACTTCTTATGAGAGCGTGTCTCAGTTTAGAGGCCAAAACCAGCAAGAAGCTTCAGAGTTTTCCTGCAACGTAGCTCTGGTCTATTGGCTTCAGTGAGGCTGGTTTTACTGAAGATGTGTTCAGGTACGCAGGAAAATTCAGCGCTGATACAGACGGGACGAGCGACTCCACCTCTGATGATGCTTGGATAAAAGTTTATATGTTCAGATCTACATGAGATGAAACAGTTAATTCTCATCACATATAAGGACATTCTCCATCGGTCATCCTGCCGTCGTTCTGGATTTATTCATTATTTACATCGTCAATAGAAATTGTTCAACAAGATGTTTATCTCTGTTTTAATTTTCACTTATAAAGTCATATCAAGTCAGCTTACATTACTGTTGTTAAATAAGAGTCACTGCAGGATTTTTTTCAGTCTGATTAGAAATTAAATGTCTTGTAAATAGTTTAAGACAGCAGCTTTATTTTATGATTTAAAACAGTTTTTATTACATATATAACTCCAAACATTGAATTAAAATATGTCAGAATATTATTTGAGTTAGTAAACTGTCAATATGATTCAGGAAGACTGTTAGTTTTCTCTAAACTCCACATTAAGTGAATATTAAATGTAAATAATGCAGCATGATCAGGGCTGTAGTTCCCACTATGGCCACCAGATGGAGGAAATACCCCTTTCTGAAAATAGAGGCGAGATTGTGGAGCTGCAGCTGGTTTCTGGAAATTGTGTTTTATCTGTCAGTGTGAACTAGAAGCGGCTCCACAGATGAAAACATCCCGCAGAGACTCTGAGCGGAGCTAACGATGCTAACAGACGAGCAGCGGCTTCAGGGGAGTGTGGCTCCTAAACTGGAGCTTCAGCTCCAACAGAGCTGAATCAAAGCTCTACAGCTCTGGTTTATACGCTAAGATACTGAGCTTCCGGTCTAAAGGTAGGAAAATATTTAAGAAAAGTTAAATTATCCTGGAATCAGAATGATGTTGATGTTTTAGCTACAGAGTCGCGAACTGAACTATTAGAGCAGGGCGGATTTTGCCCTCTAGTGGACCCAGATGGTAACTACAGCTACTTGAGAAAATCAGAGCGTTTACAAACCACATTCACTTCCGCTGTTACTTTCACAATAAGAGCCATAGAAACGAATTCCTCTGTTAGCTTTCATTTGAAATAATAAATTTTACTTTCGTTGTTTTTCTCTCTGAAACATAAACTGTTATTCAAGAGCAGAAAATTAAATTGTACACATTTCAAACTGAAATTATTTTCAGTTCAGAAAAGTATTTAAATAACATTAACAGCAGCCCCATCTCTGACCCAGATCTATCTCTGACCCGGTTCCATCTCTGACCATCCATCATTTTATTTGAGAAAAAGATTTTACATGTTTTTTTTTCTTTTTATGTTCATTCTAAAATCTAAATAATGAAGTTTTGCATCATCATTGATTCTCAGATTTAATTTTTTCTCAGTTTATTGTGGTTTTTACTTTTTTAACCCATATTTCATGTTTTGAGTTTTAGGACTCGATGTGTCTCATCAGACTCTTTACTGAGATTTACTGATTTACTGAGACCTCGGAGAATCACTGGGATAATGTGCTGATTGGGTCATGATTGCTTTTTTTTTTTTATAATTCTTCTAACGTAATTTGGGTTCCTCTGTGTTTAATGATAATTCAATAAAGTTTTATAAAATGTTCAACAGAACATTTTTTTTTTCATTTTTAGTTTGACAGCTTGTTAAAACAGAAACATCCTGTTAAATTGATCTCAGATTTTTAAGCTTTTAATTAAGGCAAAAGTTTATTTTTATGTTATTCAGACTGAAGATGTTTAAATAAAACACATAAGAACCATTTAAATGATAAATGCTGTTATGTTTTTCTCTAGGCTTCTTCTTTAACCTGCTTCAAACAATTAGGGTACATTTATTACCTTTCCGAGTGTTTTATTATAAAAATTGTTTTAATGTTTGACATGTATATATTAATAATTATATTTTCAGGCCGTGATTCTCAAAATTTCCCACAGTTCATCTTTTTGAGAGGATTTTTATTAAAGTTTAGTTATATATTCAGTTATGAATCCTGTAGTGACTCTGATTTAACAACATTAATGTAAGTAGATTTTTTTTCTTGATAAAACTGAATCCTGAATCTTCTAGTTTCTTCCTGAAACGATTTCCTGCAATAAAATGTTGGCTGGAAAAGAGCTGAAAACTGAGAAAAACCTGAAAAGTTCAAATCTGACCTAAAGTTTTACAGCTCAACTCACTGGTGATACAAAGAGAAACATGAAAGTAAAAGTGTTTATTGTCACCTGAAAGGGGGAGGAGTCTAAGATGCTTCCAGATGCTTAAAGTCACCTTGAAGGGGGCGGAGCCTCAGGTACGGATGAGGATCAGGACTAACAGGTTCAGACTCCAGTTAGCAGCAGAGCAGAGTTTGGATTGGGTGAGTTTTCTCTTTTTCTTGTTTTCCTCTCTCTGGGTTTTCTTTCTGTGGAGGGACCAGAACTCGACCGAGTTCTCCTTCAGAACCAAGCTGAAGCTGTGGTTCTGGTCGGGTTCTGGTTTCTTGTTGATTAGAACCAACAAACTCTCTTAAAGCTGCAGTTTCCTGTTGCTGAGCTGAACTGGTTCCAGTATCTCTACTGGTTCTGCTGCTCTTCCTCTTGATGTCAGAAAATGCCGACCTCAGAGACTCACATTTGGTTTTAGAGGAAGAATTGAGCTGAATCATCAAAAACTGGTTTCCAGGATGAAATTGTAGATTCTGGCTCAGCTTTGTGAATAAATTCTAGTCTGTCTCCTGCAGAGCAACACGTCCTGCTCCGTATTTCTGTTCAGTTGTTTCATAACGAGCCTCTGATGACATCACAAGAGGCCTCATCTCAGACTCTCCCAGTAAACAGACTGGGACACCAGTGGGTCTCTGATTATGATTCATGTCTGCAACTTCCTCATCAGTTTTTAAGCCCCGCCCCTTTAGAGCAGCAGGTAAACATTTGTTCTGTTGCAGGAATCTGGACCGACCCGTTGGTCCTGGTTCTGTAGCTCTGAACTCAGTCAGTGTTTCTGGTTGTTTTCAGATTGGAGAAATGAAATGAACGGCACAGGTGGGCAGATCAGCCAGAAATGATTCTCTAGAGTCGCACTACTTCAACATCAGATGCTTGTAAATAAAAGTACAAAGTACAGCATCATAAAAATACTCCTGAAATGCTATTTTCAAAAAAGTAACTCAAGCAATAGCTCGTTTAATACACTGTAGAGTCAAACTGGGACCAGTAGGTCTTCACCAGTTGTGACCAGCTGAGATATGAGGTGTCAGAAGACGGGGGTGAAAACTATTTCTAGATAAAGTTACTCCCATTGGGTTCAAATCAGTCCTGGTTCTGATCCAGGAGGATTTTTAAATGTTTCTCTTTTCAGAGGCTTTTATCAGTAAATAATTAATCTGAAGCCTCTTTATGTTCGGCTGCATCTGAAAACTGTCCAACTTCTGTCCAGTGAGGCTGTCAGTTTGATCTGGTGGCATCATCTCATCAGACAGTTTTTTATGTATATGTACATATATACATATATACACACAGGCACATGAATCAATGAATCAATAAAGAAGAAAAGTTGCTCTGAGGGAGCAGACTGTAGTAAAACTTTCCTTTCTTACAAATAATTTGTGAAAATACAGTAAATTATTCTAAAAAGAATTTATTCTGTTGCAATATATTTAGGTGTACAAGTTATGAGACAGCATATTGTTTAAATGTGTTGAGTTTTAGTTTTTTTAAAAAATTGATGTAAAAATAATCTGCTTCACTTTCTAACAAACATTTGTTTCATTTCAGCTACAGATATTTGTTTCTTAGATTCATTTCCTTCTTCTCTTTCACTGAATGTTTTCCAGTTGTAAACTTTGTTTTGCTTTATTTAATATTTGTAGAGTTTTGAAGTCAACTAAATGTCTACATTTGGAGTATTTTGGTTTTTAAAAACAGTGGATTTATCTGATTTCTGAGCCCAGCATCAAGGATGATTCTTGTTGCTCTTTTTAATGTTGAATTATTTCTAGACGACTCGTATATTAGTCAAAACCTCAGATAACATTGTGGCAGTAAACAATAACCAACAACTTAACAGGTTTTAATTTCCCCGTTCTAGAACGATGTGTAGCCATGTTGGATTGTGTTTCCAGCAAACTTTTTGATTCCAGCAAACAAAGCAGGAGGAAAACAAACATGAATGTTGTTGATGTTGAATCAGTTGAATCAGTTGAATCAGTTCATTTTATGCTGCAGATTCTGGAGGAAGGTGATCAGATAAACAACAAATACCTGTCCAGAAATGTTTAGTGGCTGACAGAGAAGCAGGAAGGTAAATGTTTGTTCTGTTTGCTGGAATCTGGATGGACCTGTTGGTTCTGATTCTGTAGCTCTGAGCTCAGTCACCACTCCCTGATCCTCCCAGACTCTCTGGAAACACACAATGGAGGTCAGTGATCAGGAACAGAACAGAGCAGAAATAATAATAAAGTCAACAATAATCTGATAATTAAGGAAGTCTGTGTTCTGATCCAGATGTTTGGATTAAAGATGGAAGCTCAGGAGCTGCAGAACCTTATGTTTTCTTTTCAGTTCTTCATTCTCTTGTTTTGGTTCTTTCTCTCTGATCAGACTGTTCTTCATCCTGCCTCCTCTGACCCGATGTTTGGATCTGAACCCGAGTGAAGTCCTCCGTCCATCTGAAGGTGAGAAGTTAGAACGTTCCAGAAACAGCAGCTCCAGTCTCTCAGATACAAACTGCAGGTTTTAATGGACCTGCCTAAGTGCTGCTGGTTCTGGGTTAACTGGTCCAGTTTCTGTACTCTGAGGTTCTGCTGTGAAATCATGCTGCTGTTACCATGGTACCAGCTGCTGGTCTGCTCCTCAGGTGATGCTGATGTTCAGCCTGAACGTTTTTACTGCTCCTTCTGACTCCAAGCAGAACAACTTCCTCAAAACCAGATCTGGACCTGAACGGTTCCAGAACCGCTGCTCTCTAACAGGAGCCACTCCAACATGGCAACAAGCCGCTGAGTTCAGGACCAACACTTCACTGCTTCATAGGAAACGTTCACTCCTTCATTCACTACATCTGACCTCAGTCTGGAGGTTTCTACAGACCTGGAGCAGGATCCAGTTCAGGATCCAGTTCAGGATCCAGTTCAGAGCAGAAAACAGCATCATGGAGGAGTGCATGACTCAAAGTTATCAAGTTAATTAGTACAAGACATTATAGCAACAGGGCAGTTTAAAGTTTTACATAATAAACAAAAAGTAACTTTACATTATAGTGGAAAAATAAAGAAAAATTATAAAAAAGTTGTCATACAGAAAAGAGTTACTTTATTTTCTAGTTATTATGTTTCAAAGGCAACTCTCAACAGGCGAAGGCTTTTAGTCTTGATTTCAGCTGTTTTGATGTTTTCTGGAAGTTTGTTCCAGATTTGTGGTGCATAGAAGCTGAACGCTGCTTCTCCTCTGTTGGTTCTGGTTCTGGGGATGCAGAGCAGAACCCGAACCAGAACCTGAGAGGTCACTTGTGTGATCGTCCGTCTCTCTCAAAGGTTCTCAAAGGTTCCCTTTTTAGTTCTTAGTATCAGCGTTAGAAAAAGACAAACTAGATGATTGATTTTACTTATTTGATTATTTCTGCTACTGAATTAAGCAGAAATAATCACCCTTGCAAAAGTGCTTGACTAATAAAATCTTTAGCATAAAGAAAATCTAAAAGATGTTGTGGACATTCAATTAATGAGTCACCTCAAAGTTCTTTGATGGTAGTAAAATAGCTGTGATGTTTGATTCTGGGGAAGAAAACTAGGTCATGTTTTATAGGTTGCTTTAGCCCAAATCTAAAACAACATCCTTGGGACTCGCCAGAGTCACTAAAACCAACCTGATTCAGTAACAAGTGCAAGTTGTAGTAAAGAGTAGGAGCGACCGTTAACAGATGTGCTCTGTGAAACCAGTTGGCTGCTCAGTCTGGCTGATTCACAGGGGGAAGAAGGACGAGACATCTGGATGGAGGTCGTAGAAATCAGGCGAATCCTTTCTGGAGGCAGCTTAAACAGTTTACTTCAGTTCTGGACAGATTTAGGAAACTCAATTCACCTGTTAGACAGAGAGCTGGTAGCACATCTCCCCTCTCAGAAGAGGAAGTAGTGACTGAGAGAGGACAGAGTGAGGGAAGGGGGCCAGGAGTTGCGCAACAACAATACCTGCTGTAAGAAGCCAATATATCTAAATTTCTTGGACTAAATTCATCATGTGACATGTCAAAAATGACCTTTGACCCTCCCTCCAATAGTTTATTTCCTGTGTTGAAGGCTTTATGTAGCAAGTTTCAAATATCTACAGTGAGTCGTTTTGATTGGGTCGCCTTTAGGGTTGTAGAGGTTTTAATTCCACTAAGTTCTCCAGTTTGGTCCCAGTCAGCAGCTTCAGCAGAACCAGTCAGGACTTGGTTTGTTTCAACAGGATGAAACTCTGTCAGTCCAGATTCGTCCCTCTCATCCCTCTGTGTCTTTATTTCTGCTGCTTCTCATCATCACTCAGAGGAAGACGGCAGAGACGGTGAGGACAACTGGTCACCTGAAAACTAAACGCCTGAGCAGGAGGCCAGACGCATTTCTGGAGGACATTTAATCAGCTGGTGATGGCAGCAACACATTACTGTTCAATGGCAACAAACAGGATTTAAAGATATTTTCATTTCAGTCTGAAGGAAATCTGATCCTAGAATGACTCACAGTCGCTTTCCATCCTTAAATACAAACATTTGGTTCAATAGTGTTGATTTCAGATGTTCTGGAAGAATCAAGTCAGTTTTCAAAAAGACAAATTTTAGTTTTAAGAATTAAAGAAATTGTGTTTTTCAGTGGTGTGTTATTGTGTGATTTAAATGAGTATTTTCATCGCTAATCTGGTATTTTTCCATTTAGTTTATCATTTATATCACAGTAAATTATTTATGAGATAAAGTCTGAAACATAATGAATCCTTCATGTTTTCCAGATAAAAGATGGCGCAGCAGCAGGAAGTCCAGCAGGAAGTGGATTTTGGTAAGTGATCAGAAGCAGAAATGAACCATCATGAAGGAACAAATTGACCAATCACAGCCCGTGTTGCTGCCATGTGATGAACCTCAGCCTCAGAGTATTTATTGTTTTCATGCTTTCTGTGAAGCTCTGCTGGAAACTGAGTTTCTGTGAAACCTGAAGATAAAAACTGAACTCAGATGGAAACAAAACTAAAAGGAACCAAAGTGAAGAAACAGGCCAACAGCTCTGATACTTCAGGAATATTTACTATATACACTAATTAATTTATCCAATAATCACATCATTTATTACTAATTTATTATCAAAGACTTGCTGTGTCTTTTATCCCAACATTTGGTGACAGAGACGCTAAAGCTTAGAGATGGAGATTAAAAACTTGTTGAAAGTAAAAGACAGAAAAGTGATGAAAATGTTTGTTAATCAGTCGATATTTTCACCAATAATATTATAATTTCCTGTTTTCCTGAAATAGTTCAGCTCTATATTTAGAAGGTGTTTGTTTTATTGTTCTTCCTGCAGTGAGGAAACAAATGATGAACAGAAGCTTCATTTGTTCTCATGTAGACAGAATCAGTGGTTGTCACTCAGATATGAGGCAGAAACACAACAGCAGGTTCAGACCTGAGGAGCTGATCAACAGACTCTGAGGAGAATCTCTGGATGGAGCAACAGGAAGAGGTTATCTTCATCAGGTTTGTCTCTCAGATGTAAATTAATCCTGTTTCTGTTTCTGCCTGCAGAGAAAAAACTTTTCAAGGTTCGCCCTGAGTTTGTGAAGAGAGTTTCTGAGGAAATCTTGATTCAGCTCCTCGATGACCTTCTATCAGATGGGGTCTTTAAACATTCGGAGATAGAGAGTATACTGCAGAATAACCAAACCCAAACAAACAAGGCCCGCAACACCATCGATGCTGTGATGAAGAAAGGACAGAGAGCCTGCAGATTGATGATCAAACGTCTTCATCACATGGATCCGACTCTTTCCAGCCAGTTAGGTTTGTCCTCTGACTCCTTTGGTCCAGGTGAGACACACAGTTCATTAAAGCTGCTTTTACAACATCTACTGTCTTTGATTAAACTCTAATAATAAGTAAATCTGATCTCTTCTAATATTTTCTGATTTCAAAATTTGTCGCCACAGAGAAAAAGTTAATGTGCTTGATGTGTGATGACACAATGGATTCTCAGTTCAGTCTGTTGAATATTAAACTGAATGAAACTCAAATGTAACTAAATATATCAATATGACTTGTTAAATTTAAAAAACTGATAGGTAAATATGGATTATCTTTTTCTGACACTGAATGATGATCAACAAAAAAGTTCAGCACAATTTGTGAACCCAATGGAGATGAAATAAATGCTTCTGTACATTTTTTTAAATAATCAAACATTTTCAGTACATTTAGAAATAAGAAATAAATATACTCAAGTATATTTCTATACTGCAGAGATACATAAATCATAAGTGGCCAATTCTCCTCTGATGTTTGCAGCAACACTCAGCAATGGAGAACCTCCAGGTTCTGGTTCTGATTAACTCAGAAACCCAAATATTTCATTTTGTCTTGGAGAAAATTATTGCTGAGCCAAACATAATGACAAAGACTCAAATCAGCTCATTATTTGTCTAGGCATTTAAATATAAATAAATTCTGACACTTTATCTTCTTATATGTACAACTCCTTTTGAATTTAGGAAATGCAGTCAAAAGATGTAAACCAACAGCCATGCATGAACTTTATTGATTTATTTTAAATCCAAATTCACATCACAACAAGCTAATATTATTTATTTTGGTCTTTCTTGTGTTTGTGCAAACCTCAGCTCCGTTTCTCTCTTTATTTCTTCCCATTCTTCAGAGCAATTTATTCAAAATCGTAACATGGAATATATTTAATCAGTGATGTAAATCTTCACAAAAACCATGAGCATATTATCATAGAAAGGTGGTCAGTGGTCTCAGCTTTGTTACAGGATAGACGATTAAAACGTTCAAATCTCTGACTGCAAATCAGAAGAGAGCCATGAGACACTGAGAATCTCTTTTGCTTTAGGTCCAATAGGAAATATTACAATTTTGCTCCTACTGCTGTTTTTCACATCTGATAGTCCAGAGACTCATTGATTGGGAACAAAATGTTAATGTTACATTTTCAGCTGCTGCGGTTCTCGTTCATATTACACTCAGTCAAATGATCCAAATTAGTTGAAAAAGTTGTTCTCCTCCTCGCCTGTAGGGGCGCTGCAGCAAGAACCACTAAAAGAAATTACAAAAACTTGAGCACAACTTCCCTTTTTCACAAAATGTAACCTAAAGTGGAGTAGTGTCAGATTTTATTTTGACTTCTGAATAAATGTTTCTCAGATAAAGTTTATTATTGCAACTATTCTTGTTTCCCTTCATGGTTCCTCATGTTGTGGACTGGCTGGAACAAATTTCATCTCCACTCCTGCTGCTTTCAATCTTCTCCAACCGTTAACAAGTAACAGGACAGGTGTCCCTAATAAAATGGCCAGTTTGATTCTTTCTTTCCAGCTTGCAGACAGTTCTAAAAAATGCAATTTCAAATTAAACACTTTGATAAAACTGTCAAGCTTGAAGGTCAGAGGTTACTCTGTGGGAAACATGTCTAATTAACTGAAACCTAAAACCATGAAAGAATTTTGACGAGCAAAACTAATTTAATTATCTCTGTGCAGCAAGAACCTGGTTTAGTTTATAAAACTGGTTTGAGGAGTTGAGATCTTTCCAGTTTCACACAGAAAACAGATCATACAGGCCTGAGAGACTGAAGTAATCTATATGCTGATTTACTGATGATGATAAAAATGTCAATTGTATTGATTTATTAACGATTATAAAGTGAGTCAATTCTGAAGTTAATGATTGATGACGTCACAAAACAGCTGAATGATGAACCATAAGATGAAATAATCTGATTTTATCATGATTATTGAAACTAATGAGTATTAAAAGCAGTTAAGGTTGGAGAAAAGTATTAAAAGACGATTGTGTTGATGATTTATGGTAATCATATGGCATATAAAAGTCTGAAATCACACAATAAGAGAATAGTTTGTGGATGCAGAGGCAAGTCTGAACATGTCTTGGTCTGTGTGCCAAATAAGGAAGTCCAGGAACAGAAGCTGGACATGAACACATGAAGCAGAAGCAAACAGGGTGTTGACTGAACATGGGAAGGCATGGGACCTTCCATTAGGTAATCGAATGCTGGAGGAGTCACATCCACCATCTCCCAATTTACAACAATGAGGGGAGAGAGAATAAAAACCTGAAGGAAAGGAGAAATTTGGTTCTTCGTCTCCAGCGTGTCGAGTGACAGAAGCAGATCAGGAGAGCAGCAGGGAGCCTGCCCTGTAACAAGAGGGAAGTCAAGCATTCACACCGCTGGAAGAGAGACGGACCCGATGCCCATCCACTCTGGCTCCTGATTTGATCAATGTTCTGCACTCAGCCCTAAAGATCTCTAGATTGCTGCATTGGACTTGGGGATGAGACAAAGATCTGGATGTTTGGAAAACATCAACCAGCTCTGCTTTGTTAACAGAAATGATTATTGGAGTTATGCAGCTGTGAGTTCTCCTCAACCGATAGCTCCTCAACTCTAAAGGGTCATAACTTCTGGATTGTAGGTAGTTAGAGCTGGACGAATGTCTCTCCACACCAGCTAAGACAGAATGTCCCTCTCAGTCCTTCTGCAGGTTTAGAGACTTTCTGGACCCGTTAGACGGAGAACTGGTCAGTAGTGAGTCCAGAGGAGTTGTGAGGTTTAGGACTGGCCTGGCTGTTGTGCAATAACAAACAAGTTTTTGTTACCTTACAGTTTTATCAAGTTTCAATTTTTCATATATTTACTTTTTCTTTTATCTTTCGCTCCAATGAGCTCAAGACTCGCTATTCTTCAGAAAATCTCAAATTTAATCTAAATTTTTCTCCTTAAAGACTGAAGCTGGAATTACTTTTAGAAAAGAAAAAATATTTGTTTTATATTAATATTGGATTTTTCCTTAATTTAATTTTATATACATACCGTCATTGAGAATATCAAAATAACTGTTTTCGTTATGTTTAGGTGAAGTGTCTACTCTTGTGTGTTTATTTTATTTTTTTTTAGATTTTGATGTTCGGTGTCAACAGGAGCATGAAGAGTCTCTGAAGATGAAGTTCCAAAGTCTCTCTGAAGGAGTCGCTGAACATGGAAATAAAACCGATCTGAACCAGATCTACACTGAGCTCTACATCACAGAGGGGTTAACTAGAGAGGTCAACCAGGAACATGAGGTCAGACACATTGAAACAGCATCCAGGAAACAAGAAACAGTCAGAAGAGAAGACATCTTTAAAGTCCCACCTGGAAGAGATCAACCAATCAGAACAGTGATGACCATGGGCGTGGCTGGCATTGGGAAAACACTGTTAACACAGAAGTTCACTCTGGACTGGGCTGAAGGCAAAACCAACCAGAACATTGATTTCATATTTCCATTCACCTTCAGAGAACTGAATTTACTGAGAGAGGAAAAGTTCAGCTTATTAGGACTGATTCATGAACGTTTCACTAAAACCAAAGGAATCAGCAGCTTTGAATCGTTCCAGGTTCTGTTCATCTTTGATGGTTTGGATGAAAGTCGATTTAGTCTGAACTTTCACAAAACTGAAATGTTGACTGACCCTGAAAAGTCGACCTCACTGGATGTTCTGCTGACAAACCTCATCAGGAAGGAACTGCTTCCCTCTGCTCTCCTCTGGATAACCACACGACCTGCAGCAGCCAATCAGATCCCAGCAAAGTTTGTTGACATGGTAACAGAGGTCAGAGGGTTCACTGACCCCCAGAAGGAGGAATACTTCAGGAAGAGATTCAGAGATGATGAAGAGAAGGCCAGCAGGATCATCTCCCACATCCAGAAATCCAAAAGTCTCCACATCATGTGTCACATCCCCGTCTTCTGCTGGATCACTGCTAAAGTTCTGGAGGATGTGATGAAGACCAGAGAGAGAGAGAAACTACCCAAGACTCTGACTGAGATGTACATAAAGTTTCTGAAGGTTCAACTGAAAATGAAAAGGGAAAAGTATGAAGGAGGACCTGAGAATGAATCTATCTGGAGTCCAGAGAACAGGAAGCTGATTGAGTCTCTAGGAAAACTGGCTTTTGATCAGCTGCTGAAGGGAAACCTGATCTTCTATGACAAAGAGCTCACACAGTGCGGCATCAACATCCAAGATGATGTGTTGTTCTCCGGAGTTTTCACTGAGATGTTTAAAAAGGACAGTGGAACGGGCAACATCTCTGTCTACTCCTTTGTTCATCTGAGCATCCAGGAGTTTCTGGCTGCAGTCTACATGCTCCACTGCTTCACCAGCAGGAAGTCAGAGGAGATCAAGACATTCCTGGGAAAAACAAATGTTTTTATGTCTTTTATGTCTCTAGAGGAGTTCATGAAGAAAGTCATGAAGAAATCCCTCAGCAGTCAAAATGGCCACCTGGACCTGTTTGTCCGCTTCCTTCATGGTCTCACTGTGGAGTCCAACCAGAGAGTCTTAGAAGATCTGCTGGGGCAGACAGAGACCAGTCCAGAAACCATCCAGAGAATCATCACCAACCTGAAGAAGATGAACATTGATAGAATCTCTCCTGACAGAAAAATCAACATCTTCTACTGTCTGGTGGAGATGAACGACGTCTCATTTTATCAGGAGATCCAATGGCTGCTGGATTCAGGGAAGGAGCTCTCAGTGACTGACTGTTCAGCTCTGGCCTTCATACTGCAGATGTCAGAGGTTCTGGATGAGTTGGACCTGGAGAAGTACAACACATCAGAATCAGGTCGACAGAGACTGGTTCCAGCTGTGAGGAACTGCAGAAAGGCTCGGTGAGTCCAAATGTTTTCATTGTGTGATGCTGATTCAGCTCTATTGTCCTCCTGTTTCTTCTTCTGTCTTCAAGTTGATTCTGGATGTTTTTGCTCTTTATCTACTTCCTTCATCCTCTGGATTATTTCAGCCAATCAAACATCTAAACATTCAGCTCATCCAGGACAGATGCAGCTTCTGGTTTTAGACATGTTGATTATTTTAAAAATATTTAACTTTTTATCAGTTTTCAGGTTGAAATGAATAGAAAACCCTGAACTCTAGAAAATCTATTTTCTCTAAGATCCAATCAGCCTGAGAAACTTTTAAACTTTAAACTCTTCACTCATTGAGCCGCTGCTCCATCATTCAGATTTTAGGATCTTTGAATGTTTTTATTAAATTATTGTTGGGTTTAATAAAAATTTTAACCATTCACATAAACCATTGCATTAATTATAAACTATGTGAACAGTGTTGATCTTCATCATCCTCTCCTCTTCCTCCTCCCTCTAGTTTCCTCTGAGTTTGTAAATGAGACCAAAATGTGGTTTTTGTTGTCTGGTTCCAGAAAAAGTTCTAGTTTCTGTCAGATCCTCCCAAAGCTCTGAGAATCTGCTTCCAGAGCTGGAACCATTTTCCTCATCAACTCTTCATCTGCAGCCTTTGTTGAAGCTGTTAGCTGTCCTCCATGAAGACCTGCAGAGACATGAGCTTCAACTCTGGAGACATCCAGCCTCTTCTAGTTACTGGAGAACTTTCACTGCTTCACCATGAAAAAATTGACCCAAATGCTCTGGTTCTGGTTCTGTCCACTATGATCCATATCATCACAATAGTAGATTGAACTCACTGATGAACTGAGTTTATCAGTCTGTCTCATCTGAATGTATGCAGACATATTAATAAGGATCATCTGATTCTGGAGAGATCATGTCTGTCCACTCATGGACCATCTGGACTCTGTTCTGACCCGGTCTAAACCTGAAGGCAGCAGTATGGAAGTAAATATGTGCCATCAGGATTTGAATAAAAAATGCCTCTGAATTTTCAATGTAAAAAATTCAGTGATAAAAAATTCGCTGTTAAAATTTCAACGTCTAAAAATTCGCTGTAAAAAAATTCAACGTCTAAAAATTCGCTGTGAAAAAATTCAACGTCTAAAAATTTGCTGTAAAAAGTCCAGGCAGAAAGTAGCCACCCATCAGTTCTCTTTAAAGATCCAAGTTTCTTTCTTTTTTAAATAAAACGGGGGAAGTTGGGTGAGGGACAGCGCGGAGGGGCTGGATGCTAGGAGGTAGCGAGACGTTATATGCCTGCTCTACATGCGCTAAGATTAACAACGGACCAAACCAAACCCGTGTTTTAAATCGAGCTTTAAGATAATGTATCAAACCTCAGGCGCAAAATGAAATGTACTACAGAAATATGAAAGCATTAAACTCACCTTTGGGTTAGCGTTCGCCTCCATAGTCGCCAGCCTCCGTGATGCTGGTATTTCTTCTATATGGCGCGGCACCTTGTGATTGGCTGGGTGTTGGAATCTGACGTCCATTGCGCATGTCTGTCACCTGAAGTAACCTTGCCATTTTTAACAGCGAATTTTTAGACGTTGAATTTTTTTACAGCAAATTTTAGACGTTGAATTTTTTTTACAGCAAATTTTTAGACGTTGAATTTTTAACAGTGAATTTTTTATCACTGAATTTTTTTACGTTGAAAATTCAGAGGCATTTTTTATTCAAATCCTGATGGCACATATTTACTTCCATACAGCAGGACCAGTTCTGCTGCTGCTCTGCAGGACTACCAGAACAATCTGAAGCTTTTAGCATCAAATCCAGCAGATGAACGGAGACAGAACTGGAGCATCATGTGTTTGTTATTCTCCCAGTTTCCTCTGTGGCAGCATTTAATAACCTGCTGCTTGGAAACATGTTTCTATACAATACTATTATTATTGATGATGCAGCAGATATTAGCTCAACAAACCCAGAGATGCCAGAGGTCCACAGCAGCTGGACTTCCTGTTCTGCTCACTTCATTTATAACTCACTTCCTGCTTGGTGGAAGATCTAAACGGTCTAGTCCAAGTCAGAGCTGTGAGCAGTTCCTCCTCCTCTCCATCATCTCCAGTCGTTCCTTCATTCAGCTCAGTCAGCCTCTTCATCAGCTGCTGCAGAGAAACTGAACTTTCCTTCATTGATGATAGAAGATCTTCAACATCTGACTGCAGCTGAAGGTCTGAGGACATGAAGCCTGGACCAGATCCAGAACCAGAACCTGGACTTTAACCAGGAACTGCACAGATTCCCTGTGGGGTCAAACTCAGTAGATTGAAGATCAGATGATGATCAGATGATGACATCACTGTTATCATATTTTAGTCTGTTAATGATTGTTGGATCTATTACCCAGCACTCTTGCTGAACATTAATGAGGACACAGGGAGACGGTTAAATTTTCTTATGCAATCTTCCAATTGAACGGAGAACTCTGCCCAGAGTCATCCCGTTATCTCTGTCTCCAGACCAATTCTAACGCTTCTCTGCAACTGCATATTTATTACATTGAGGCGTAGCTTAATTACAAACATTTGCATAGAAGGAGTGGCAAACACAATACACATTCTCAAGGTACTGTCTTTGCATCTCCTGATGTCACATAAAACTAGAGTTTCTTGGGACATCTAGCCTTAGATCCACTCTCCTGCTAGGTGTCAACTCTTTCTCCCTGGTTGGCACCTGTGTGGTGCCTTGTCCTCGTGTCAGGGCAATTGTGACTGCAGGCATCTGCTCCGTTCCCGGGATTCTCTGGTTCAGTTCCCTCTGGGGTCGTAAAGTTCAGTTCCCGAGACTCTGGGTTGTTTGCAAACGACCCATTCTTCCTACCAGGCTAACTGTCACCCTGGCCATCCGTCTCCAAAGTGACAAATTCATTGCTTCCCTAAAAGATAAAAGAAACACAGATCCCAGGGGCAAATAAAGGTTTTTCAACCCTAATAGTCTCCTAATCTTGAATATTTATATTTTTATTTTTATAAAAACCTAATAATGATCCAGATAGATTTTATTAGAACTGAATTTATTTCTTCTCTAATCACAGACTTGGTGACTGTTTGCTCTACAAGGATGAATGTAAAGTTTTGGCCTCGGCTCTGAAGTCCAACCCAGATCTGACTGAACTGGAAATAAATCAGATGTTCATATATGAAGGAGACTCTGATATGAAGCATCTGGTTGAGATCCTGGAGAATTCAGTCAGTAAAGTGAAGAAACTGGGGTTTGTTTTCTCTGTTTATCCAATGAAATCATTTATTGATATTTTAATCAATAGTTAATCAATTTAATGTTAATATATATTATTTTAAAACATCATGTTTAATTATCAGAATAAAATCTCTAAAACTTTTGACATTATTAATTATTTTCTTATTCAGACTTTGACATTATTGAACTTTGTTTTTCAGTTTTTCTCTTTAAAATGTTTTTGATGAACAAAATGAGTAAAATAATTGAAATGCTGTGAATGAATGATGGAGATGTTTCAGTTTGGTAAAGATTCAGATGCTTTATTCTGATTCTTTACATCAGAATGAAATGTTGATCCTCCAGAGCCACAAACACTGACGAGTTCAAATCCTCATTAATGAACGTCTAAGAAACCACTGATTGTAGAAAAGCAAATCTAGATGCAATGAATGAAAGTGAGGTTTGCAGCAGCAGCAGGTTCCTCAGCTTTGTCCTGAGGCTGTGGTTCTGTTGGGCCGGGTCAGAGAGGAACCGTCTCCTGAGGAAATAATGGCCTCCATTGGCTTTCAGCAGCTTTAATAGGAACCCAAAGGCCATTAATGAAGAACCTGACTGGTTCTGACCCAGTTACCAAGTCGGGTCTGATGATCAGGAACCAGCAGAAATAGCTCAACTCATCCAGACTGATAGAAAACTTTGAGTTTTTTTGTTGAACAAATGTTCTGGTTCTGCTGGTTTGGACTCTTTAAACCAGTTTGACTGGATCAGATGTTAGAATCAGTTCATCATGTTTCTTTTACATTCAGGGAAATTAATTTATACATTTTATTATTTATTTGTTCATATTTCAGTTTTAACTGCATCCTGTTGGTTCACATCTTTTATTCTTTATTCAGATTGAGCTGCAGTTTATCAGAGACCAGCTGGACGTCTCTGTTCTCAGCTCTGAAGTCCAACCCGACCCATCTGACAGAACTGGGCCTGTACAGAACCAACCTGGAAGGTTCTGGACTGAAGGATCTCTGTGGTTTTCTACAGACTGAAGGCTGCAGACTGGAAACATTGATGTTTGTAATTATATAATTATTGATATTTCTGTGAATAATTCTGTATAATTGATCATAAATCAAAGTTCATTTCTTCTGATCTAATCAATATTTTCTGAGTTTGTTCCTGGATCCAGAGTTTAATTTAGTTTCTCTGTGTAACTGAGTTTGGACCTGCTGATCTGAGGTCAGAACAGGACAGCATTCGGACCCCAGTGTGTAGAAATCCCCCTCAGGTCAAGCAGGTCAAAGGTCATCCAGTCTAGAAAAGTGAATTCCTGGAATCTGACAGGAACAAATCAATAATCAATGATTGATGCTTCAACACTTTGATCAGAACCTGGAATGATTTTACTGACTAAAGTCCTCCAACACATCATGACCCAGTACCAGGTTCTGGTTCTGGTTCTGAAGTCAGCAGGTCTTTATTGGAGCAAAATCAAAATCAAATCAAATTTTATTTGTACAGCACATTTCAGCAGCAAAGTATTTCAAAGTGCTTTACATCATAAACACAAAAACACAAAGTCATGTAACATAGAATAAACGATACATTCTTACATATTACATTACAAATACAATTCTAAACAGGTGTGTTTTTAGTTGTGATTTAAAGGAAGTCAGGGTGTCTGCTGTTTTACAGCTTTCTGCAAGTTTGTTCCAAATTCTTGGTGCATAGATGCTAAAAGCTGCTTCTCCTCTCTTGGTTCTGGTTCTGGGGATGCAGAGCAGACCAGAACCAGAAGACCTGAGAGGTCTGGAAGGTTGATACAACAACAGCAGATCTTTGATGTATTGTGGTGCTAAACAGTTCATTGATTTGTAAACAACAGTTTACAAATGTTTGTTCATATTAAAACATTCACATTTTTAAAATTTCTTCTTTGAACTACAGAAGAAATTTAAGGACTTTAAAACTGGTGTTATGTGCTCTGTCTTCCTGGATTGAGTGAGAACGCGAGCAGCAGCTTCTGGATCAGCTGCAGCTGTTTGATTGATTTGTTGGACAGGCCTGTGAAGATGCTGTTACAATAATCAATGTGACTAAAGATAAATGCATGGATGAGTTTCTCTAGATCTGGCTGAGACATTAGTCCTCTAGTCCTGGAGATGTTCTTCAGATGATAGAAGGCCGACTTTGTAATTGTCTTTATGTGGCTCGCAAGGTTCAAGTCCGAGTCCATCACTACTCCCAGGTTTCGGGCCTGATCGCTAGTTTTTAGTTGTAATAACTGAAGCTGTGCATTGACTCTAGATCGTTCCTTTAGGTCCAAAAATAATGACTTCAGTTTTGTTTCTGTTCAGTTGGAGAAAGTTTTGGCACATCACACATTTATCTGTTCTAAGCATTTATTCAGTGATTGGATGGGGTCAAAGGTCACCTGGTGACATCGTAATGTAGAGCTGTGTGTCATCCGCATAGTTATGGTAGCTAATATTATTTCCTGTTACAACCTGAGCTAGTGCGAGAATATAAATATTAAATAAGAGGGGTCCCAAGCAATGTCCCTCTAATTTTTTATGTGTCTGGGCGTACACACAAGCTTCCTGGGCACACTGAGGACCACTGTGAGCATCATCAGTGTACACGGTGTGGCCACGCACAAGTATCATAAATCTGGGATCATAGAAAGTTGCAAGGGTTATTAGAAAAATCAAATCACATCAGCAATTTTCATTCGTTTGCTTTTAATTTAAGTGATTTGCTCAATTAAAATAAAAAAAAGAAAAGAAAACATTGCTGTTCATGAGATGCATACTATAGGTATGAGTCCTGCTTCAGCCAGGGTGACAAATGAGACATTACACCTTTCAGACATAAATGTTTGTTCATATTAAAACATTCACATTTTGCACAATGAAATGTTTTCTGTAGCTTGTGATGCAGTATAAATTCTTGTAAAATATTTAATTACAGTTTTTTTCACGTCTGCCCTTCTCACTTCTCACTTCTCCAGTGGTTGTACACTTTGCCCAGGTTGATGGGTCAGTCTGCTTCTTGCTTTATGTACTTGAATTCAGCATATTGACTGTTAATGGCCTCCATAATCTGTGGGTGGAGGACAATGAACTCATACTTCTTTGCCAGTGTACAAATGTCTGCTTCTCCATAGTCAAAAGTCTGAACTCAACATTTCAATATCAAATGCAGACCATTCCTTTCATTTGATTTGATTCCATTTGATCTTAGAAGAAGTGCATTTCTTTTTTTTTTACTTTGGCTTGGTGAGTGGATGTCCCACGTAGACATGATAAGGTGATGGCTTTCACGTTTCTTAACTCTACCGCACTATTCTCACCTGCACGGCGCATATGACCAAGGCACGTAACCCACGTACACACAGCCAATCAGCATGCGCTGATTGGCTGCGTAGCGAAAGTGAACCGTATTGTATCATTGGCTGGATTCCTGTCACTCACTGAGTTCGATCGCAAAGTAGTACGGAAAAAAAAAAAATTATTGGTCCATCGTCAAAACTGATGTCTGAGCTCAATGTCCACTTTACGTTGGACTTTATTTTATGCGCTACATAGATTTTCTTGTGCGCTGAGAATATGTGAGCAGTGCGCGATTGCGCAGGCGCGCAGCTTAGAGGGAATATTGGTCCCAAGATTGAACCTTGGGGTACCCCACATGTGACCTTTGACCTCTTTGATGAGAAGTTTCCAATTGAAACAAAGAAATCCCTGTTCTTTAAGTAAGATTCAAACCAGGCGAGCACCGAACCGGAGAGTCCGACCCAACTCTCCAGTCGATTCAGTAATATGTCATGGTCGACACTGAGGTCCAACAGAACCAGCACCGTGGTTCTCCCACAGTCCGTATTTATATGGATATCATTGAATACTTGGACTAGGCCAGTCTCCGTGCTGTGGTGAGCACGAAAACCAGATTGTAAAGAGTCAAAGCAGTTGGTCATCATGAGGAAACTATTTAATTGTTTACACACAGTTTTTTCAATAACTTTGCTGATGAATGGGAGGTCAAAGGTCAGAGGTTGGTTTGTAATTCTGCAGTAATGATTTGTCCAGATTGTTCTTTTTTAGCAGTGGTTTGATAACTGCTGTTTTCAAAACCTGGGGGAAAACGCCTGATGTAAGTGATGAGTTACTATTTGGATGAGATCAGTAGCAATAACAGGCAGGACTTTCTTAAAGAAATGTTCTAGAGTTATAGATCTGTAACATCCAGACAGCAGGAGCTTGATCTTAATTGACTTGTAACTTTTCTGGGGTTTTATAGTGAAGTAGTTGAAAATGGGTCATTTTTCCTGTATTTGTTTTGTTTTGGTACAGCAATGGTTCTGGCTTTAGAGTTGATGTGCAGATTAATCCTCTGATTTTTTTGGATTTTCTCTGAAAAGAAGCTGGAAAACTTGTTGCAGGCAGCATTAGATTGGAGTTCAGGTGGTAACGTCACAGGAGGGTTTGTGAGCCTGTCAACTGTTGCAAATAAAGTTCGAGCATTGTTGATGTTTTTGTTTATGACATCTGCAAAGAAAGCCTCCCTTGCATGTTTTAGTGTTACGTGATAGTTACGTAGTCTTTCTTTATAGATGTCATTATGAATGTGAAGTTGAGTTTTACGCCATTGTTGTTCTGCTCTGTGACAGAGTTGTCTTGCAGATCGAACTATTTGTGCTTTTCTCCATGGAGATTTCTTCCTACCAGACACAACCTTTATTTTAATTGGAGCAATGGAATCAATGATATATGAAACTTTAGACTGAAAATCATCTACCAACTGATCTACAGCATTACAGCTTAAGAGTGAGGAGGAAGAATAGATTTGATTAAATGTTTCTGCTGTGTTTTTTGTGAAAGAACGTTTCGTGACAGTTTGTCCAAGTGGGTCAAAGAATAAAGAACCTTCAAAGATAACAGCAAAGTGATCCGACAGGCGACATCAGTTACAGAGACATTGGAAATATTCACACCCTTACTGATAACCAGGTCCAGTGTGTGTCCTTGAGTGTGTGTTGCTTGTTTGACATGTTGTGTTAAACCAAAATTTTCTAAAATATCAGAGAGCTTTTTGCTTCTCTGTCTTCAGGTTTGTCCACATGAATGTTGAAATCACCAACAATTATTGAACAATCATAATCAATGCATTTGAGAGATAGAAGATCATTCAAGTCAGTAAAGAAATTTTCCACGTATGCTGGAGTTTTGTATAAAGTTAGTGTCAAAGTTTGTTTGTAGCCTTTAACTTGAATTCCAAGATACTCAAAAGATGTGAAATGACCCAAAGAAATGTTACTACAATTTATGGTTTTCTTAAATATAGAAGCCACGCCTCCTCCTTTTTTATGTTTTCTATTCTCACTTAAAGAATTGTAGTTAGGAGGCGCTGATTCAGTTAGTACAATTTGGTCAATATTCATGAGAATCTTTAACTGGTTCTGTTGGACTGGTTAACCTGCATCCTGTTAGTTCACCTCTTTTATTCTTCATTCAGGTTGTTGGACTGCAGTTTGTCAAAGATCAGCTGTGATTATTTGGCCTCAGCTCTGAAGTCCAACCCGACCCGTCTGACAGAACTGGACCTGGGAGGAAACAACCTGAAAGATTCAGATGTTCAGCATCTGAAGGATTTTGTAGAGACTGTAGAGTAAGTAAATGTTTGCAGTGAGTCCAGCTGCTGTCAGCATATTGAACTAAACCCAGTCAGCATCAAAGCAAAGATCCAGTGTTCCCAGTAAAGCTGCAGCTTCTCAGTGGGAGGAGAATGGTTCAGGCTTCCTGATTGGACACAGCAATCAGCCAATCAGAGGAGCAGCAGCTTGCTGTGTTGTTGCTGTGTCCATGTCTCCAGGACGTCCAGCTGGACTCCAGCGTCCAACATGTCTAGAGACAGTGGTCCTCATTCATCAAACAGCAGCAGATCTGATCTCAGACCTGCTTGTTCTCTCAGTTCAACAGGAACGACTGATCAGGTTCATCTTGGTCACAGCTCTGAGATCAGTCTGACTGGAAACCATCTACTGGATGTGCTGCGTCACTGACTGCTGCTGGAGAGGCTGGAAACACTCACTGATCTGCTCTCCTTCCTTCTTGTCTCTGCAGGTGGAAGGACTGATGATCTCTGTAAAGTAGAGAACGTCTCTGTGTCCTGCTGATCCTCACAGGTAGAAGCTGCAGCAGTATGATTCTAAAGAGACTGACTGGATCATGACGATGACCTCTGACCTCATAGATTTTCCTCCTGTTTATTTTCTCATGTCTGTCATTTAGTGTCTGATATTGTTTTTCTCTTTGGATCAATAAAGATCCAATTCAAACTGGGCTCCATTTAGAGGCTTCATGGAGTTTTGATCTGAACTGGATTCAACTGGAAAGTTGATCTTTTTTCTCTCTGGTTCATTTTCATCCTGGAACCAGAAATGGTCTGAGAATGGAAACATGGGAATCATTTCCAGTTCAGCTTTAAGTCATAAAAGACACTTCAAACCTCTTTTCTCTGCTGCTTCCTTCTGTTGACATGAAAATGTTCCTCAAAGCTCCACAGATAAAAAGATGTTTTACTGGAAACGGCAGAGAAACTTCAGCTTCCACCACAGAAACCAGTTTAACCAGTTTAGAACTGGATGTCCCACAGAAACTGATCTTGGAGCAGTTTTCAGGAACATCCATCTTTTAATCTGAATAAATATACATATATATATTTTATAGTCATTCTAAAAATATTTAAATAATTAAGTTTTTTATCATAGTCATTGGTTCTCAGTGCTTTAATATTTCTCGTTTTGTTTTTGGTGGTGAACTTTTTCAGTTTTCCAGTTAATCTAGAGAACATTAGGGGGAATGGAGACTCAATATGTCACATCAGGCTCTTTACTGTGGTTGTGCTGATTTATTCTGAATTCATGGGATAACGTGGTGATTGGTTCATATTATTTTGTTCATATTTATTTTAATGTAACGTGGGTTCCTCTGTGTTTAATGATGAGCTAATAAAGTTTTTTATAATGTTTTTGGTGGGGGTTTTATACATTTGATTTTGTACAAATATAGTAACGACATCTTTATTTTAATCCTTCATGCTGTTCAGTTTATTGTATTAGGATTAACAATAAATCCAAATATATTTTAACTTTGTATCTTTTGTTCGACAGTTTGTTTTAATAAAATCAGAAACATCCATTTCAGTTGATTTGAGAATTTTTAAGCTTATAATTTAAAGCAGCAGCTTTTTTCCATTATTTAGACTGAAGATGTTTAAATAAAATACATGAGAATCATTTAATTAATATATATTATTTTTCCTCCAAGTTTCTTAGTTATGCAGATTCAAACTATCACAGTAGTTATTTTACTTCCCGGTTTTTTATTTTGAAAGGTCTCATATTTGTAAATTTTCCAACTTTATTGTTGTAATTGCCACGTTTAGCCACCAGAGGGACTGAACTCACTACTGAGGTTCCTGGTCCCAATGGTAACCAATAAAGAAAGACTCGCTGCTGGATGATGCGAGTCTTTAGCGCGGAAGCTAACTGGTTTCCAGCGTCAAACCAGCGATAACTGATTCCCAGTGAGATAAATGAAGGCAAATTCTTCTCCTGTGTTCATTTTAATGTTTTCTCTGTCAGTGTGAACTAGAAGCAGCTCCATAGAGTTGAAAACATCCCGCAGAGACTCTGAGCGGAGCTAACGATGCTAGCGATGCTAACAGACTAGCAGCATCTTGTTTTACATAGAAGCTGATTATCAGAAGCTGCGGATCTAAACTCTGATGCTGAACAGCAGCGACTGACCTTCAGTTCACTAATAATCGATCAAAGTTTTATTATCATAGAAGTTTATCATTGAGCTCGTCTAAATGATTTTAGTGTGTAGTTACATTGTGTCACCACAGGAGGGCAGTACACAGTGACTAACTGGCAAAAACAAACCTAAAAATGTAAATAATCTTCTGTTTATTATAATGCTCAAATATTTTTAAAAGCTTCTTTGAGTTGTTAATTTTAATATTATTTATTATTTTTCATTAGATTGTTTTATTCTGCTCTAATCTTAGCTGGTTGACTTTCATCACTAATGAAAGTGTGTTTATAGTTTTTCCAGACTGTGATTCTCAAAATTACCCACAGTTAATATTTTTGTAAGGATTTTAACTGAATAAAAATAAATTTGTAACTACATTTCTATAGTATTATTATTTTTTTCTAAGTAGCTGTTATTTACCTTGCATTTTGAATTACTTTAATTTGTTTTAATGTTCACTTTTATCAAGTCAGCATATGTTTATGCCATTAAATAAGAGTCACTGAAAAAAACTGTTTCGAGTTTTAACACAGCAGCTATCTTTTATGATTTAAAACTCTTTAAATGGCTCTAATATTATTTTTGATTAATTTATTATTTATCTTCTGGTTGAGAAGATAGTTTTATTTTATAAATTGGATATTAAATGTAAATAATGCAGCTTTATCAGGGCTGTAGTTCCCACTATGGCCACCAGAGGGCGGAAATACCCCGCTCTGAATATAGAGGTGAGTTTTTGAGCTGCAGCTTTGACGTTTAAGTTGATCAGGTTTATATCTTTCTCATGATACATATTATTATTAACATTAATAATTGAATGTAAAAAAATTACTGTTCTGCCTACTTTAACATGCAATCAGTGTTTTATCGGTCAGTGTGAACAAGGAGCTCCACAGAGTTGAAAACAGCCCGCAGAGACTATTAGCGGCTCTCGCGATGCTAGCGATGCTAACAGACTCTAGCAGCAGCTTCAGAGGAGCTTTGGCTCCATAAGAGTTGAAACGAAACTCTCCAATTCTGGTTTAGACGCTGAGCTTGTGGTTTGAGGCCAGGAGAATATTTATGATCGATTAATTTGATGCACAACAAACTGAACCTCTCTCAGAGCAGGGCGGTTAGTGCCCTCTAGTGGACCCAGATGGTAACTGTAGCTACTCTATAAAGTTAGAGAATATACATAACACATTCACTTCGGTAGCTTCTTTCACATTAAGAGCTTAAGAAACGAGTTAATATTCTCGGTTAGCGTTCATAGTAAATAATGCTTTTAGTTTTCCTTTTTTTTTCCTCCCTGAAATGTTTATTCAAAACATTTAAAAACTTTAATTAAAGTTTATTTTAATTGAAAATGAAAACAATTAAGTTAAACAAATGATCTGGTTGAGAAATTACCATGAATAGGAATATCTGTAGTTGCAATATTTCACCACCAGAGGGCAGTGAGCGCTCATAATCTACTATCAAAAATAAAAATAGTTTGTTTTGTTGGTTTTCTGTTGAAGCCATGAAAAAAGCGGCTCTGTTTCATAACTGCTTCAGCAAAACAGAAATACTTAGTGTTTTCTATCTTTATTCTAGTTTTATTTCACTCTATGGACTCAAATTGAACTGTTAATATTTATTCAGATGAATTAAACTTTCAATCCTGACGCTAAAGATTTTTTCCCTTTAAACTGTTTTTATTCTATTCTGCTCTCAGCTGGTTGACTTTTATTACTAATAAATATGTTTTTCGTAATGTTTATTGTTTTTCCAGACTTTGATGTTCAAAATTACCCACAGTTCTTTTGTAATTACATTTCTGCTATTACTATTTCTAAGTAGCTGTTATTTACCTTGCTTTCTCTAATGTTGTCATGAGGACTTTCCAGTTCTAATTACAATTCTGTAGATCACGATCTACAGAATTAAGTCAATATAACTAGTTATTCGTGAAAATTATAAAGTTGATCAGTTTTATGATGGTTGAGTGAATTCTTACTGCCCTCTGGTGGAGAACCTTCGTAACTACAAACATTCTTCAAATACATTTTTCAGCCAGATGTTTTGCTTCTGTTTTAATGTTCACTTTTATCAAGTCAGCAAATGTTAATGCCGTAAAATAAGAGTCACTGAAAAAAACAGAGTTTTAAATCATAAAATATAGCTGCTGTGTTAATACTCTTTGAACACTTTATTATAAATATAACAACGAACAAGTATTTTAAAATATGCCAAAATAATATTTGAGTCGAAAAACGGCTCTAATATTATTTTGATTATTTATCTTCTGGTTGAGAAGATCGTTAGTTTTTCTCTATATAAATTGGATATTAAATGTAAATAATGCAGCTTTATCAGGGTTGTAGTTCCCACTATGGCCACCAGAGGGCGGAAATACTCCGCTCTGAATATAGAGGTGAGTTTTTGAGCTGCAGCTGGTTTCTGACATTTAAGTTGATCAGGTTTATATCTTTCTCATGATACATATTAGTATTGACATTAATAATTGAATGTTAATCATAACTGTTCTGCCTACTTTAACATGCAATCAGTGTTTTATCGGTCAGTGTGAACAAGGAGCTCCACAGAGTTGAAAACAGTCCGCAGAGACTATTAGCGGCTCTCGCGATGCTAGCCATGCTAACAGACTCTAGCAGCAGCTTCAGAGGAGCTTTGGCTCCATAAGAGTTGAAACGAAACTCTCCAATTCTGGCTAAGACGCTGAGTTTGCGGTTTGAGGCCAGGAGAATATTTATGATCGATTAAATTATCCTGGAAACATTCAGAAGATTGATGCACAACAAACTGAACTTCTCTCAGAGCAGGGCGGTTAGTGCCCTCTAGTGGACCGAGATGGTAACTGTAGCTACTCTATAAAGTTAGAGAATATACATACCACATTCACTTCCGGTAGCTTCTTTCACATTGAGAGCTAAAAGAAGGTAATATTCTCGGTTAGCGTTCATATTAAATAATGCTTTTAGTTTTCCTTTTTTCTCCTTGAAATGTTTAATAAAAAGCACCAAATTAAATTCTGCTCAGGTTTTCAAGCACCACTATTTAATTTTCCTATTCCTCGATAGTCATGTCAAACAGATAAAGTTATTTAAATAAAATTAACAGCAGGAACATCATATCATTGTACGTGTTATAAATTTATTCACAGATTCATTCAGTCATACAATTTACTAAGTAATAACTGGTAATGTTTTAAAATGTAACTTTTTACGTTTAATTTTTCTCCATTAGATATTTTTGTCCTGCTAAATGCTCTGATCTCAGCAGGTTGGATTTTATCATAAGCACATTTTCATTGTTTATATTTTTCAGGCCTTGATTCTAAAAATTAACAACAGTTAATCTTTTTGGGAGGATTTTTCTGAAGTAAGTTTAATTTTCTTTTCTATTTATTAACCTTTCAGTGGCTCTTTAGAAACTTTAATTTAAGTTGATTTTATTTGAACTGATAAAAGTGAAAATGAGAACAAATTAAGTTAAAACAAATGATCTGGTTGAGAAATTACCATGAATAGGAATATCTGTAGTTGCAATATTTCACCACCAGAGGGCAGTGAGCGCTCATAATCTACTATCAAAAATAAATAGTTTGTTTTGTTGGTTTTCTGTTGAAGCCATGAAAAAAGCGGCTCTGTTTCATAACTGCTTCAGCAAAACAGAAATACTGAATGTTTTCTATCTTTATTCTAGTTTTGTTTCACTCTTGTCAGGTTTAACACCTATTAAATACAGATTCAACAAACACAGGAAAGACAAGAGATTTAGATTCTTTCTTACTCGTGGGGAGAACAGACAGAGATGTGCTTTCAGTTACAATCTCCTGCTGCTCTGAAACCACATTTGCCTGCTTCTCTCTTTTTATTGTTTTCAGGATCCCTAATCACAAAGAATACTGTTACTCTAAAGGGAGGGGAAAACACTTCATCACATGGCTACAGCGCCAAAGACAATCACTAACTAAAACACAAGGTATCTTGCACTTTATACTCTCATTCCAGACACAGGGTTAAACAGAGCAAGTTGTACATCTTCACGGTCAGTTTTCTAGAGGCCTTGGTTCACGCCGAGAGATAACCCTGCAGAAACCTGTTGTCACTGCTTTCCTTCAGTGAGGCTTTCTGAGGAAGGAATCAGAGTAATTCAACAATACAGAAACATTCTTAATTCTAAGATGAAATTAAACAATAAAAGCATATAAGAAAAAATACCTTATAAAGATACATGAGAATAACAAATATTTGATTAAAACATCACAATTTATCCAACAACTCTATTAACTCAAATTGAACTGTCAATATTTATTCAGATGAATTAAACTTTAAATCCTGTTCAAAGATTTTTCCCTTTTGAACTGTTTTTATTCTGCTCTGATCTCGGCTGGTTGACTTTTATTACTAATAAATATGTTTTTCGTAATGTTTACAGTTTTTCCAAACTTTGATTTTCAAAATTACCAACAGTTAATATTTTTTTAAGGATTTTAACTGAATAAAAATTTTTTGTCACTACATTTCTGCCATTACTATTTCTAAGTAGCTGTTATTTACCTTGTTTTTTTCTAATATTTTCAAAAAGATTACTATCTTTCTTGAAAAGTATAAAGTTGATCAGTTTTATGATGGCTGAGTGAAGTCGGGTGAACGTTTGTAACTACAGATATTTTTCAAATACATGTTTCAGCCAGATGTTTTGTTTCTTTGTTTTAATGTTCACTTTTATCAAGTCAGCAAATGTTAATGCCGTAAAATGAGAGTCACTGAAAAAAATTGTCAAGAGTTTTAACACAGCAGCTGTCATTTATGATGTAAAACTATTTATTACAAATATAACATCGAACAGTGATTTAAAATGTGTCAAAATAATATTTGAGTCGGAAAACCGTGGAAAAACTGAGGAATATTGTTCGTTTTCTCTATATAAAGTGTAGAAGTGGATATTGAATGTAAATAATGCAGCATCATCAGGGCTGTAGTTCCCACTATGGCCACCAGAGGGCGGAAATACCCCGCTCTGAATTTACAGGTGAGTTTATCGAGCTGCAGCTGGTTTCTGACTTCTGTGAAGTTGATCACGTTTATGTCTCTCTAATGACAAATATTATTATGGTCTATCTAAAGCAGGAATGTTCAACTCCAGGCCTGGAGGGCCGGTCTCCTGCAACTTTTAGATATATTATTATGGTCTCTCTAAAGGCCTGACAGCTGATTTAATATATAGATGAGTTATTTACATACAGATAATTCATCTATATATCTAAAATAGATTACATATTAATGTTTCCTGATTAAATAAATAACTGGTTTGTTCGCCAAGATGTTGAGTCAGGAGAATATTTATGAAATATATTTTTTGTCTGGAAAAAATAATAATTATGATAATTTTGCTTCAGAGCCCAATTATTTAATTTATATAACATCCTAAGAAAATTACACACTTATACTTTCTGATAATATCATAAACTAAAAAGCTAAAATGTACTAACATGAGAATTTAGTTTATTGTTTTACTTTGAAAGAATTCCAAGGAAGTGCTAGTCACATATTAGTTCTCTAGCTTTACTCTGATTGTATTTACACACCGAGTCCACTAGGGGGCAGAAGGCTAAGTTAGCAGTTAGCTAGTTTCCCGCTGCGACCGGCTAATGAAGCTCTTGCTCTCTTTGTGTTTCTGCTGTGGTATTTCAAAAACATTTTTTTCTATTTTAACATGAAATCAGTGTTTTATCAGTCAGTGTGAACTACAAGCAGCTCCAGAGAGAAGAAAACATCCTGCAGAGACTCTGAGCGGAGCTAGCGATGCTAACAGACTAGCAGCAGCAGCAGCTTGTTTTATACTCAGTGATTCTGGTGAATGTTGATGTTTTGATTCATCAGCTGTTTTTTTTCTCCACTGATGATATCAATACTCGATCAGCTTATTGACAGAACCAAGTGGGTTTTAGTGGAACCGCATTAAAACGATTCTGGTCTGATCTCTCTGACAGAATCTTGTTTCTCAACAGCTGATTGAGAATCTTCATCCATTCATCCAGAGCTGGAAGTGAGAGGATGAGGACCTGAGGCACTTCAAGAAGCTGGACCCCTGCAGGGAGGGAGGAGACCAGAGGGTGAGTCTGCTTCTGCTGCACAAACACTGAATGCTATCAGTATTTCAGTCCAGTTTCTTGGACTCTGCAAATAAAACACCAACAAGTACTTTTCAGTAAGATATTTTCCTCTGCAGTGCCTGCTGCTGGCAGGCCGCAGACGATGAAGGTCTCCATCCTCTTCCTCCTCTGCAGGTGAAGTCAGTGATCAACTTGCAGCCTACACTGGAAACGCGCTTTGTGCTGAAAACAATCATTGCTTTTGTTGTTTTTTTTCTCCCAAATCCAAACTTTAGAAAAAGGAGGATCATTCCAGAAGTCGGGTCAGAACTGGCCTGTAGTGGGGTCAAAGATCACAGAGAAAGCACAAAGCTGCGATGGCGGCGCGGTCTGAGCTGCAGCTCTTTGGATCATGTGACATGTTTGTCGGTGCAGCTTTCTGAATGCAACGTGTTTGTTCTGGTTCTTCTTCTTGTGTATTTGTGCTGCTGAGCCACCAGCAGATATTTATTCACATTCAAATAAAAACTAAATATATAAAAACAAACTGAATTCCTGTCATTTAATTAGTATTAATTTCATCTGACATTCAGGAAATAAAACAACTGCTTCTAAACGATTCAGATTTTCCAGACTTTTTATTTTATTTTTAAAAATTTCAAAACTTATTTTTTGAATAAAAATTTAAAATGTATTTAGGGTCATTAGGCTGTGTTTTAACTAAACCTTATTTTATTTTTCCTTCTATTTCCAACCAGGTGAGGCTAAATTTAAAAAGTTCTTTATTTATGTATTTTATGAATTTGCAGAGAAAAGTTGTACTTTTCTCCCTTTGCAACAGAAACTGAAACACTGGGTAACATTTTGTATTTTTACAAAGTTCAACTGAACATTGGATAGAAAATCAATATTTTCCTTCTGGTTTCAATGATCTTAAAAGTTCCCAACACGTGAGGAGAAATAAAAGCCTAAAGCCTCCAAGTGAAGAAGTAAAAGTGGATCTGCAGATGAAGTGAAATTGTTTCAGATCTCCTCCGTTGTTTGTTCTGAACATGTTGAGCAGTAAATGTTGGTTCTGCTTTTCCTGCCCAGATGCATCAGCTCAGTTTGGACCTTCTGGATCCTGAACTTTGAGTTTTTCTCCTGGATCAGAGACGATTCTGAAGCCACGCCTCCAGTTGTCACAGTAAACGCCCCTTTTTCACCCAAATCCTCCAAAACAGAAGACAAGTTTAAAAAAAAAGCTATTTAGTGTAGATGAGCTAGTGGCGGAGAGAGGAGGAATACAGGCTGCTTATCTAAAGGTTGTTGGTTTTGAGTCCAGCAAGGATCTTGTTGTGTTTTGACTCAAATAAAGGAAAAATTAAAGTAAAATTGGTAGAGTTCAGGACTCGAACCTGCAACCTGTGGACTCCCAGTCCACTTCTTATTCCTCTGAGCTATTGATCATTACAAAAATGAATCATTTCCGCGTAAATTTGTCACAAAAAAATCACCACATTTTCACACTGTGTCAAATTTTGTGGAAAAACCTGGCGAGGGAAGAAAAGAGGCGAGGAAACGTGTTGATCAGAGGATTGATGACAGCTTGGAGCTTCAGGTCTTCAGATTCTCTTCATCTTCAGACCAAAGACTTTCCAGATTCTCTGCAGCGACTCGTTGGGCTCCTGCAGACCTTCGTCTGTTCAGCAGTAAATCCACCAGCAGGACTCGGCTTCTCACAGACTCCAGCTTTATTTCTTCATCTTTACACAGAAATACTTTCTCTGGGCCTCCACCTCAGAGGGAACAATTAAAGCCCGACAAAGCCGAGCAGAGTCACATTGATACAAACAGGAGAGTTTTCAGAGTCTTCAGCAGTGATGAAGGTAAGTTAGACTAATTAAAGCAGAGCTCTGCAGCCTGCAGCTCATTAGGACTAAAGATCACAAACTCAAGTTTAACAAAGAAAACATACAAATTTAACCATTTTACACTTTTTAGTGAAAATTACTTTTTCATTTTCACAACAAAATGACTTTAAAAGTGTTTAAGTAACAAAATGTGATAAACATCAAAATCACATTTTGAGTATTTTTCACTTTAAACTTTTTCTACAATATTAGAAATAAAAGATGAAAATAATGAAATAGTTCAGCCACTATTTTAAATATGAAAATAAACATTTATTGCCTAAAATTTAATAACAGAATTTCTTTCTTGAACACTCGATAATTTCTAGCTGCTTGTCAATAGAGAGGAGAACTGATCTGTTGATTATTTTATTAAATAATCAATTAATAATTGGTTAAGATATTTTCTTTTTACTTGGTGAAGCTAAAAGTGACACTTAAGGAGTTTTGGATAGAAAATATTTACACACAGGATTTTTTAAGTATTAAATTTAAAATGTAAATATTAGGCAAGTGGTATTTATTGAACTTATATTTTAGTTATCAATCACCAAACTATTTGAGCCTTTTTTCTGTAATATTAGGAGTAAATTACAAACTAATTAATTTATTTTTTAAACAATAAAACACTTTGTTGCCTAAAATGCAATAGCATTTCTTTAATAAACGCTTGATAAATTGTAGCAAAGAATTTGTATTTCTAAAAACACGTTAAACTTCACAGAATGCAGGACTGAGATAATAATTTTATTCAATTTTTTAATTTGATGAAAAATTAATTAATAGTGAATAAGATGTTTTTATTTTTTGCAGAATTTGAACCTGGTGAAGCTAAAACTGCAGTTTAATGACTTCTGAGTAGAAAATATTTACAACAAGATTTTATTCTATTTTAAATGTAAAATTATAGATTTTATGTTCAGTTTTGGTTTAATTACATCTGAATGTTATTTTTCCAGCAAATTAACATTTAAGAGTCAATACTTAAGTTACTGATTTATCAATTACCAAATTAGCTGACTCTTATTTTAATAATTGATTCATCATTATTTTATTTAGATGTATTTTTCTTGATATTAAAATAAAAGCCATGTGTAAATATAAACATCCTATATAAAAACATTTTTTTCAGGAAGTTTGTTTTTCTTTTAAAATATTTCCTGTAACAGCTAAATAATGAAGTAAATATTTTAAAATGTCATTTTGTGGCTCTGGACCCGTTTATTTACCTGGAAAAGCAAAAAATGTCTCTGGATTGGAAAAGCTGCAGACGGCTGGACTAAACAAAGCCCACCATGACGAGGACGCGGAGCGCAAACGGGCCGAACAGAACCACCAGGAGCGACGAACGACCAGAACCAGGATCAGAACCAAGATCAGGATCAGAACCAGGACCAGAACCAGGACCAGAACCAGAATCAGGATCAAGACCAGGAGGGGCGGGGAAACGGTGGCAGATCGTCTTCAGTTCTCATCCTGAGATTCTGAACTGAGGAGAAAACAAGAACTAATTAATTCATTTGAAACAGAACCAGTTCAGTTCAGAACTGTTCATGTTCAAAGTTCTTTTCTTACTACGTAGTTCTCATAAACTGAGCAGAAAAAAGAAATAAAAAACAATCGTCGCAAACTAACTGTGAGGAAAGAAAGAAAAACAGAAAATGTAACAAATGAGAGATGAATTTAAATCTTAAATTAAGTTAATATATTGGTATAAATATTAGGATTTTGTGATGTTGCAATGTTTAAGCACTTTATTGAATAAAATCATTTCACTTTAAAAATGGAAGTGATTTTTAGAATAAATAAAAACTTTGACAGAGGATGAAATTGTCAATATCATAATTTAACTTTTCATCAAATTTTATAAGATTAAAACTTGTGGAACAGATTTATTGTACAAAATTCAGTTTTCAAATATTTCTAAAAACATTCATGAAGTTGCAATTGGAAAAATGTTTGTCTCAAAAACACAAAATAGGAATTGATATTTATTTTAGATTTCTTTTACAGAAACTCATTACAGAGAAAACTTAATAGATAATTATGAAATTAATGTCAAATCTGCTGTGGAATAGAAAGTTATTTGGTTCTATTATTTATTTGTAGTTTATTTTTTTGGATGTGGAAGTGACGTCACAGGGCTACCGCCACAATTTTTACAAACTTCAATAAAACACTGAGTAAACACTTCATCGAGAGGCGCAGGCTGCAGAGTGAGGACTGGACCCGGCCTCTTCACTGACGTCATCATTGTGGGACTATTTAAGATGTGAGACATGCGCAGTTCTGACTTTTTGGAATAAAGGAAGCGGTGGTTTTCCTCCTGGTTCAACTGAACCAGGACTTTTCCTGCCCTTATGACGCCAACCAGAGGAAACTGCAACATTAATAATAAAGAGCTCGACATTTCCCAACCAGAACTTAGAATCAAAGAGGAGATCCGAGTGGCGGAATGTTTACGAAGCAACACAAAATGACACTTTTATTAAAGCGCAGCTAACAACCTGCATGGGTCCAGATGCTCGGTCACAATATGACACAAATAAATAGAAAAACCAACAACTTACCGAGCAAAGCAGGTCGGTTTTAAATGAAATACAGAAGCGGTGTTAATTATCTTCTTCTTCTTCTACTACTACAGGGTGTCAGTGGCGGCTGCAAACCAACTTCAGGTGCATTACCGCCACCTACAGGCCAATCAGAGAAGCACTCACCTGTACGGTCAGAAGAGAAGCTGGAAACGGAAGTTCAGGTTTGACATTCAAGTTTTTATTGCTTCTTCTACTTTTATTTAATATTGTCGTTCAAGATACGTTTGCCCAACGTAGAATACATGCAATGCACATTATGCAGGAAAAAATTATCTAAAATCTGTCATACATCATTATTTGAATGCAAGCGTTTAACTTTGTGTTGAAGCTGGTGGATGAGAAAGAGGAAGCGCTGATGTAGCCACAATTACTGCAAGACCTGTTCATTTATTAGTGCTAAGAATCAGAAAGTATTGTTGAGAATTAAAATTCTATTTCAACAGTATCTTGGGATGTGGAAGAACAGCTGGAAGAAGTGGCTCATTATTTGGCCTCAACTTTGAAATTGAGGCCAAATAATTTCTTTGTGACATGACAAGTTCAGAATGAATGACTGTTTTCAAAACTTACAATTGGGGTCTATTGATTAAATTGTGGTCAACAGTTTAAGGAGATAGCTCTCATTAGCTTTTATCCAAAGATAACAGCTGCAGGTGAAACATTTTGAAACAGAAACAGAGAATAAACTAAAGAAAACCAAGATAACTGATTCCCAGTAAGATAAATGAAGGCAGATTCTTCTCCTGGGTTCATTGAAATTTTCTCTGTCAGTGTGAACCAGAAGCAGCTCCAGAGTTGAAAACATCCGCAGTTGAAAGAAATTCAAAGTCAATTATTTGAATTCCTGAGAGGGGCCCAGTTCTGCTTCTATTATTATTATTATTAGTATTATTATTATTATTATTATTATTATTATTATTATCGCTACAGTTCTGATACAGACTGTTGGATCTATTACCTAACACTCTTGCGGACATTAATGAGGACACAGGGAAACGGTTAAATTTTCTTATGCAATCTTCCAATTGACGGAGAACTCTGCCCAGAGTCATCCCGTTATCTCTGTCTCCGGACCAGTTCTAACGTGCTTCTCTGCAACTGCATATTTTTTACATTGAGGCGTAGCTTAATTACAACATTTGCATAGAAGGAGTGGCAAACACAATACACATTCTCAAGGTACTGTCTTTGCGTCTCCTGATGTCACAGTTGTTTGTTGTCTCTCTGGACCATAAAACTAGAGTTTCTTGGGAAATCTAGCCTTTGATCCACTCTCCTGCTCGGTGTCAACTCTTTCTCCCTGGTTGGCACCTGTGGTGCCCTTGTCCTCCTGTCAGGGCAATTGTGACTGCAGGCATTCTGCTCCGTTCCCGGGATTCTCTGGTTCAGTTCCCTCTGGGGTCGTAAAGTTCAGTTCCCGAGACTCTGGGTTGTTTGCAAACGACCCATTCTCCTACCAGGCTAACTGTCACCCTGGCCTCCGTCTCCAAAGTGACAAACTCATTGCTTCAAAGATAAAAGAAAAACAGGTCCCAGGGGCAAACAAAGATTATCAACCTGTATAGTCTCCTAACCTTGAATATTTATATTTGTATTTATATAAAAATCTAAAAGACACTCTCAGTGAGTGCCGGTTGGAGACATCTCAAAGTTCACAGCTCACACAAGCTGATTATCAGCAGCTGTGGGTCTAAACTCTGATGCTGAACAGCAGCGTGACTTCAGTTTCATCCAATTATATCGATCAAATTGATCATTATTCAATATATATTTCTAAGTATCTGTTGTTTACCTTGTGGTCTGAATTATTTTAATTATACATTTCCATCTCTAATCACATACAAGTCCGAAATATATTGATTTCTATCTACAGGATTGAGTCAGAACTGTTCGTGAAAAGTTGAGTTTATCAGTTTTGAGGTGGTTGGGTGAGTTCATACTGCCCTCTGGTGGTGAAATATCGCAACAACAGACATTCGTCAAGTACATTTTTGTTTTAATGTTCACTTTTATCAAGTCAGTTCAAGTCAGCATATGTTTAATGTCGTTAAATAAGAGTCACTGCAGGTTTTTATTCAGTCTGATTCTGATCAGAAAAAACGTCCTGCAAAGAGTTTAACATAGCAGCTTTATTTTATTATTTAAAACTCTCTTCATTACAACAGTGAATTAAAAAAAATGTCATAAAAAATTGAGTCAGAAAACGGTTGATAGAGTCAGTTTTTCTCTAAACTCCACATTAAGTGGATTTTAAACGTAAACAATGCATTATGGAGACCGTAGTTCCTATTGTGGCCACCAGAGGCGGTTTGTTTTTCTTTCGAAAAAGTTTATTGATACTTGGGACATTTTAAAAACATGGCATTTATGGCAGTTATCCAGAAATTTTTTTTAAATCTTTCTTTAAAATACAGTCTCGTTATTTAAATTAAACTAAAAGCAGATAAGAAACAAGAATAAAAAACATCACAGTTCAAAGTTATGCAGGACCGGGGTCCGGAGTCACCCCGTCCTTCCAAACAGTGATGGCGCCCAGCGGGGGTCCACCCTGGTGCTCCTTCCCACCTGCCTGACACTGAGAGCCAGGCCGCCGCTGCCGGGACCTCTGTCCACGGAGGCGCAGGCGATTCTTGGTGCTGTGTCCTCGGCGCGCCACCTGCAGCTCTTCTTGCTGCCGCCATCCGGATCACAGCCACGGGGGGGATCTGCCTGCGCCTGCTCACCAGCAGTTTTCTGGAGGTCCAAATGGCGTCTTTGATGGTGGCTAGGGTGAGCCACACCTCTGCAAAGTCTGTTTTTGTAAATTTCTGTTGGCTCACCCCGTACAGCATAAGCTGTGCATTGAGGACCCCCCTGCCGGCAAGTGTGGGAATTGCGAGGAGCCGGCCGTTGCCCACAGGTCCTCAGCAGCGCTGCACTCCCACAGCAGGTGCCTCACCGACTCCGGCGCGCCACAACCGGTCCTGGAGTCTGTTTGGGAGGACAGGATGGCTTACGTTGCGCCAAACGGTGGTGGCGTCCCCGTACAGGAGCCCGCGCACTGGGGTAACTGGTTCCCGGTCCTGCACAACAGAGATGATAAAACGGTGATTAGTTAAAACCCAGAGGCGGAAATACCCCGCTCTGAATTTAGAGGTGTTTGTGGAGCTGCAGCTGGTTTCTGACTAATAAGTTGATTACGTTTATATCTTTCTCATTATAAATATTATTATGGTCTGTCGAAAGAACTGACAGCTGATTTAACAAATAGATGTCTTATTTGAGTATAGATATGTCTATATTTCGTAAGTAAATCTCACACTTAAGTTTCCTGATTAAATAAATAACTGGTTTGTTTGCCAACATGGTGAATTTCCAGTTTAGATTCAGGAGAATATTTATGGAAATTGTATTTTTCTGGAAAACAGAATAATTGTGATGATTTGGCTCCAGAACCACATTTTACTGTTGATATCATATCCTAAGACATTTACACAGTCATGATTTCTGGTAAAATAATTAACAAGCTAAAATGAACTTACAGGTGAATTCAGTTAATCGTGTTTACTTTGAAAAAACCTTTTATATTTAATTTTTCTCCATTAGATATTTTCATCCTGCTCTATTCTCTGATCTCAGCGGGTTGGATTTGATCACAAGCACATTTTATTGTTTCTATTTTTCAGGCTTTGATTCTCAAATTTATCCACGGTTAATCTTTTGGGAGGATTTTTGTGAAGTAAGTTTAATTTTCTTTTCCATTTATTAGCCTGCAGTGACTTTTTAACAACATTAATTTCAGTTGATTTTATTCGACCTGATAAAGTTTAATGACTTCAGCAAATCATCTGGTTGAGTAATTAATCAATCCTCCACCAAAACCTGTTTGTTCTGCTGGTTTTCTGCTGAATCCATGAAAAAAGCTGATCAGTTTTGGATCTGCTTCATTAAAAGCAAAATCTAAATACTGAAGGTTTTCAATCTTTATTCTAGTTTTGTTGTTTCACTCTGTGAGTCACGTGAAGTCATGTGGAAAAGAAACTGAAAGCAACTTTGGGTTCCTTCAGAACAGCATCCACTTTGAGTCGCAGGAGGAAAACAACTTGTTGACTTGTAAATAACAGTAAGTGTTGCCGCTCCGTGTCTCTCCGTGTTTCTCTCGGCTCTCTGGAGCCTTTCTAACCGATGAACCACTGCAGCTTCCCGGGTTCTCCACCACCGGGTCGCTCGGCTCCAGTTTACTTGATTAACTTCCTCATCTAGACAGGATTAGTCACGGGTTAAATAAAATGCTTTATTGTGAACATTTTACAATTTTACTTCACTAATAGGTTGATTTGTGGTAATAACACTGTTACTGATGATTGACACATTTGTGAGGTAAAAATGAAGATTAAAGCCGCACAGCGGCGTCATGCATCCCTCGCAGCCAAGCGCTGCTCGGCCTTTTGGCCGCCGCGGGTTGAGGCCCGCATGTTAGTCAACTCAGGCGGTACTTATGGATCTTCACAAAAGATCTGGTGCAGATCGGTGGATGTAGACAGGAGATATACAGTCAGTTTTCACAGGATGAAACCCATATAAATCATAGAATAAAAGTAAAACATACTGCAAAAAAATAAAAAACTGGTGACTGCCTGTTAAAAGTGGGCAGGGCAAAGGTGATGTCATCAAGTGACCATGTAAATGTGATCAGGACTGGTCTGCAGAAAGACGTCATACGAAGTGTGATGCAGCTGTGATCTTGCATTTGGAAGTTATGAATCTTGATGTTCAGGGAATAGTCAAAGTTAGTTTTCGACCATATGGTATTGAAGGAGACCCAATGATGATCAATCACAGTAACTTTGGTGACTCAGTGAGTTTCTGTGTAGGAGATAAAACAGTTTATATTTTCATGGCGAGTAGGTGAACTTTGACCCCTGGTGACACCCCTTCAGCATGCTCAAAAACTCACAGTTTGATAACTTTAGATGGGACATGCCTTATGAACAGACTGACCGAGTTTGAAGCCGATGAATCAAAATCCCTAAGGAGTTCGATCAAATACGAAGGCTGTAAACGGCAAAAATGGGTGAAAATCGGAACTTCAATCCAAAATGGCTGACTTCCTGTGATATTGTGATACTGCAGCTGTTTACCCATGATTCCTTGCAGTGGATCCAGCTGGCATTTACCATGATTCCTTGCAGTGGATCCAGCTGGTATTTACCCATGATTCCTGCAGTGGGTCCAGCTGGTACCTCAGCTGGATGCTGTGGTCCCTGAAAGCTGCTTTGTGACTCTTTAGCTGAGAGGAAATCCTGCTGAGCTGCACACAGAGGCTGACATGTTGCTGAGATCCAGCTGGACCCGGTTCTGTTTGGAGGAGAGCTGTGGACCCGACCTGAGCTGCTGCTCCCTCAGAACCTCCTGCACACTGACTCCCTCCATACAGATTTACAGTAGAGTCAAATGTTCACTCCTTCATTCACCTGATTCACTCTGATACTCTGAACACATGATGGGAACCAGCTTTCTGCTTCCAGTTACTGGAACTGGATCACTGGGACTGACTGGTTCTGGTTTCTCTCTCAAAAGGTCCAGAAGATGGAAGATCTGGATCTAAAAGAACCTCCAGGATCCATCAGTCCATCTATGAGGAGTGACTGGTCCAAAGAAAACAACCCAGAGTTCAGTAATGAACCTGGACCCTCAGACAGAAAGTAAGAAACCAGTTTCTAACTGATTCATGTGAATCTATAGAGATAAAATTTAAATTAACTGGTTGATCTCAGTGTTTTAATAAACAGTAACTTAATTTTCTTACTTATTAATTTAAAGTTAGACATGAAGGATGTTGGTCAGTAAATTAGTTTGAATGAAGGTCTGAATGAATTAATATGGATTAAAATGTTGCATGAAAACAAAAACATGTGAGGAGCAACAATTCAGATTGTCTGTAAACCCACTGAAGCAGTGAAACCAGCATCTTCCAGACTGGGAACACTGGCATCAGTCATCATACCAAATATAATTCAATGAAGTACTTAAAACCAGAAATCATCAATGTTCTGAGGTTCTGTTCTGACCCAGTTTCTGGTCCCTGGTTCTTTGTGGACCTTCATGAACATGTCAGCTCCAGCCTGTTGCTAGTGAATATTTCAGTGATGAAGAAATGTCTTCACAGGAGGAGCTTTAATGAGGAGGAGCTTCCATCTTGCTGTGCTTTGGGTCAGAATGTTCTGATGGATCCGGGCTGTACCAGCTGCCCCCAGTGTGGGAAACAACCCAGAACAGGATCTGGACTGACAGCCAATCAGAGCAGCCGTGCTCCAGGTGAGACTGAACATGTCCAATCAGAGCTTCTTCCTTCCAGATCCACGTCTTTAGTTGAGATTTGGACATTTAAGGTTTAAAAGTCTTTTTGTGGTCAGTAACTCGACTTTAGAAACTATTCATGTAATTTCAGCCTGTTCAAAAAATGGCCACAAGATAAATGTACAAATTTGACTTTATTTTGTTCATTTTAAAATGAGAAGTGAAGACTCTTACTCTGAAGGGTCATGTTGCAGCAAGTTAAAATAATCATAATATGATGAATCTGCACATTTTAGTTAAAATCATAGACATTGTCAAGCTCATAGCTGAGGGTTTCTGTATTTTATGTTTTCTCCTACATATTATATTATTTCTAAGTTATTTAAGTGCCATAAGGTCTGTATTATTATCATTATAATAATTATTATTATTGTTTTTAATTTAAAATGAGCAGCTCTAAATAAAACATTTCATAGAATCAATTTGATGATTCTTACAGATAATTTTATTTGTGTTTCAGCACATTATGAGTTTAAGGGGGATGAAATAGCAGAAAGGATGGCTCAGGGTATTGGTTGATATTAATGTTATGTTTAGAATAACAGAAATAAAGTGAATAATAAAACAATAAAAGAAAGAGAGGTGACAAAAGTTCTGGGTCAGCAAATTGCCCACCTGCCAATATGATTAATCTGATCTTGCTGAAAATGATTTTTATTCTACTTTTATTGGTTATTATAGCAGGCCGTTAAGGTTCTGCTGGAAAATTGCATCTTACAATTCAGAAAATGACTAAAGGACAATTCCACGTAATTTCTCACTACCTTGAGCATCTTTAATGTGATCTACTTCAAAAACTAAAATGGTTTTCACGAGGCAGAAAGTGATTTTGAGCAACCTCAGAGGTCACTGAAGTCTCTGAAAAGCTCCTGGTTCAAGGTTGAGGTTCAGCCTGGAGATGATGGTAAATGTAGAATATAATAAGGAGTTATGTTACAGAAAAGCTTCTTCAGGAAGTGAATAGTTTGTGATCCAAACGTTGTTGGAGAACAATCAGGCAGATGAATGTGAGGACAGCAGAGCTGCAGCAGCAACAGAGGAGTGGAGGACAATCTGGGGACCAACAACTAGAACAGAAACCTTTATTCACTCTGACATTATAACACAGACTGCATTATATATATTTACAGTATGAATGCAAAATGTAATAATACTAACAATCTGAGGAAAGTCATTTTAAATGTGAACATTATCGACATAATGAGTCATTTCTTTGGCAGATTAACGCTTTTTCTCCAGATTTCTTTCATAAAGACTGAAAAATGAAGGGTGGAAACATTTTTCTGTTTCTATAAGGACAATGATGACATGATGCAGAAGAGTTGATGTTACTGAAAACTCCTGGATTCAATGACTCTGATGGTTTTGTTCCAACTTTATCACTGAATCATGTTTTTTACTACAGTTGTCTTCTGTGTTTCATTTTATTTTTAAGTCTGAATTGTAAATGTGTGGCAGTGAGCATGTAGAAACAGTAAAAACAGAGAGAGAATGAAAACATGTCCATACATAGAGTATGGAATATTCAGAACAATTCAAAGAGCATCAAATGTTATAAAACTGCGTTTTGAAGCCAAAATACCTTAGAAATATTCAGAGCCAACCATGAGAATCAAGTCATTTCAAAATAAAACTCAGTTTCACACAAAGACGCAGCTTAAATGTTTGGCTGTTGAACTGAATTGTTCAAAGTGGCAATGAAGTTAATAATCTATCAGCAGCTTCACAAATCTCTTTGATAAACATTACATTACTAAGACACATTGAAACAAACCTTATCGTGGCTTTTTTCTATTATTCTTTTTTTTCTTTCTCCCTGAAGGATAAGTTGTTTTTTTGAGACATTGTTTTGCCACTTATCTTCTGACCGGAGCTTTGGATGTTTGGATCGGCTCTGGAAGCACCAGGTCTCTAAAACTATGATTTCTACATACATTATCAAATATATTGTAACAAATCAATTCATGAGGAAATTGTGTGATTATGTCATTGTGATGAGATAGAAATTGATATAAAAAAAATTAGGTCCACTGATGGGGCCCCTTGGAGGCCCTGGGGCTGCTTAGTTTCTTGGGCCGGCTCTGAGACTGACGTTGGGATAACTTTCTCTAATTATTGAATTATGTTTCCTTCATCGAAGTTTATGAAGAAGAACCAAACTGGCCACTTTATTAGTCCAGCAAATTGTTTTTATTTTGTTTGTTTTATTTTTTTTTCAGATATTGTTGGTCTGTATCAGCCTGATCTTAAAGAGTCTCTGAAGATGAAGATCCAAAGTCTCTCTGAAGGCGTGCTGAACATGGAAATAAAACCGATCTGAACCAGATCTACACTGAGCTCTACATCACAGAGGGGTCAACTAGAGAGGTCAACCAGGAACATGAGGTCAGACAGATTGAAACAGCATCCAGGAAACAAGAAACAGTCAGAAGAGAAGACATCTTTAAAGTCCCACCTGGAAGAGATCAACCAATCATAACAGTGATGACCATGGGCGTGGCTGGCATTGGGAAAACACTGTTAACACAGAAGTTCACTCTGGACTGGGCTGAAGGCAAAACCAACCAGAACATTGATTTCATATTTCCATTCACCTTCAAAGAACTGAATTTACTGAAAGAAGAAAAGTTCAGCTTATTAGAACTGATTCATGAACGCTTCACTAAAACCAAAGGAATCAGCAGCTTTGAATCGTTCCAGGTTCTGTTCATCTTTGATGGTCTGGATGAAAGTCGATTTAGTCTGGACTTTAACAACAGGACAATGTTGACTGACCCTGAAAAGTCGACCTCACTGGATGTTCTGCTGACAAACCTCATCAGGAGGAAACTGCTTCCCTCTGCTCTCCTCTGGATAACCACACGACCTGCAGCAGCCAATCAGATCCCTGCTCAGTGTGTTGACATGGTAACAGAGGTCAGAGGGTTCACTGACCCCCAGAAGGAGGAATACTTCAGGAAGAGATTCAGAGATGATGAAGAGAAGGCCAGCAGGATCATCTCCCACATCCAGAAATCCAAAAGTCTCCACATCATGTGTCACATCCCCGTCTTCTGCTGGATCACTGCTAAAGATCTGGAGGATGTGATGGAGACCAGAGAGAGAGAGAAACTACCCAAGACTCTGACTGAGATGTACATAGAGTTCCTGCTGGTTCTACTGAAAATGAAAAGGGAAAAGTATGAAGGAGGACCAGAGAATGAATCTATCTGGAGTCCAGAGAACAGGAAGCTGATTGAGTCTCTAGGAAAACTGGCTTTTGATCAGCTGCTGAAGGGAAACCTGATCTTCTATGACAAAGAGCTCAAACGGTGCGGCATCAACATCCAAGATGCTGCGTTGTTCTCAGGAGTTTTCACTGAGATTTTTAAAAGAGAGAGAGGGACACGCGACGTCTCCGTCTACTCCTTTGTTCATCTGAGCATCCAGGAGTTTCTGGCTGCAGTCTACATGCTCCACTGCTTCACCAGCAGGAAGTCAGAGGAGATCAAGACGTTCCTGAGAGACGAATACAGAGAAACATCTCTAGATGAGTTCATGAAGAAAGTCATGAAGAAATCCCTCCGCAGTCAAAATGGCCACCTGGACCTGTTTGTCCGCTTCCTTCATGGTCTCACTGTGGAGTCCAACCAGAGAGTCTTAGAAGATCTGCTGGGTCAGACAGAGACCAGTCCAGAAACCATCCAGAGAATCATCACCAACCTGAAGGAGAAGAACACTGATACAATCTCTCCTGACCCATTTATGAAGAGCACTAAAATATTCTCTTCTGGCCCGTTTATGAAGAACACTGATAGAATCTCTCCTGCCAGAAGCATCAACATCTTCTACTGTCTGGTGGAGATGAACGACGTCTCATTTTATCAGGAGATCCAACGGCTGCTGGATTCAGGGAAGGAGCTCTCAGAGACTAACTGTTCAGCTCTGGCCTTCATGCTGCAGATGTCAGAGGTTCTGGATGAGTTGGACCTGGAGAAGTACAACACATCAGAATCAGGACGACTGAGACTGTTTCCAGCTGTGAGGAACTGCAGAAAGGCTCGGTGAGTCCAGATGTTTTCATTGTGTGATGCTGATTCAGCTCTATTGTCCTCCTGTTTCTTCTTCTGTCTTCAAGTTGATTCTGGATGTTTTTGCTCTTTATCTACTTCCTTCATCCTCTGGATTTTTCAACCAATCAAACATCTAAACATTCAGCTCATCCAGGACAGATGCAGCTTCTGGTTTTAGACATGTTGATTATTTTAAAAATATTTAACTTTTTATCAATTTTCAGGTTGAAATGAATAAAAAAAATCCTGAACTCCAGAAAAGTTCTATTTTCTCTAAGATCCAATCAGCCAGAGAAATTTTAAACTTTAAACTTCATTTTTTTTGGATTTATTTTTTTGTTTTTATAATAAAAATGTTTTAAACTAAAACTCATTGAGCCGCTACTCCATTATATTTAAGGATCTTTGACTAACCTTCAAATAATCCTCCTCCCTCTAGTTTCCTCTGAGTTTGTAAATGAGACCAAAATGTGTTTTTGTCGTCTGGTTCCAGAAAAAGTTCTAGTTTCTGTCAGATCCTCCCAAAGCTCTGAGAATCTGCTTCCAGAGCTGGAACCATTTTCCTCATCAACTCTTCATCTGCAGCCTTTGTTGAAGCTGTTAGCTGTCCTCCATGAAGACCTGCATAGACATGAGCTTCAACTCTGGAGACATCCAGCCTCTTCTAGTTACTGGAGAACTTTCACTGCTTCACCATAAAATGCTGCTGGACCCAAACGCTCCGTCTCCTCCAGGGGTTTTGCTCTTCAGCTCTTTAGGAGTTTAGCAACAATTTCTCCTCACATCCAAACCTTTGTTCCTCTGAGACAATGGACAGACCACTGCAGAGACATGTGTCCCTCTTCCAACCAGTTTGTCCCAGTTCCTCTCAGATCGACAGTCTGAGAGGACGGTTCTGACCCGAAGGAGCAGCAGGACCGGTTCTGCTGCTGCTCTGCAGGACGACCAGAACAACGTGAAGCTTTTAGCTGCAGCAGGTTGACGACTGTCCACTTTCTACTTTGTTAAAGCATCAAATCCAGCAGATGAACGGAGACAGAACTGGAGCATCATGTGTTTGTTCTGCTCCCAGTTTCCTCTGTGGCAGCATTTAATAACCTGCTGCTGGGAAACATGTTTCTATACAATATATTACTATTATTCATGATGATGCAGCAGATATTGGCTCAACAAACCCAGAGATGCCAGAGGTCCAGAGCAGCTGGACTTCCTGTTCTGCTCACTTCATTTAGAACTCACTTCCTGCTTGATCTAAACGGTCTAGTCCAAGTCAGAGCTGTGAGCAGTTCCTCCTCCTCTCCATCATCTCCAGTCGTTTCCTTCATTCAGCTCAGTCAGCCTCTTCATCAGCTGCTGCAGAGAAACTGAACTTTCCTTCACTGATGATAGAAGATCTTCAACATCTGACTGCAGCTGAAGGTCTGAGGACATGAAGCCTGGACCAGAACCAGAACCAGAACCTGGACTCTAACCAGGAACTGCACAGATTCTCTGTGGGGTCAAACTCAGTAGATTGAAGATCAGATGTTGATCAGATGATGACATCACTGTTATCATATTTTAGTCTGTTTATGATCCAGATTGATTTCATTAGAACTGAATTTATTTCTTCTCTAATCACAGACTTGGTGACTGTTCGCTCCGAAAGGATGAATGTGAAGTTTTGGCCTCGGCTCTGAAGTCCAACCCAGATCTGACTGAACTGGAAATAAATCAGATCTTCATACTGGGAGGTGGAGACTCTGATATTAAGCATCTGGTTGAGATCCTGGAGAATTCAGTCAGTAAAGTGAAGATTCTGAGGTTTGTTTTCTCTATTTATACAATAAAATCATTTATTGATACTTTAATCAATAGTTAATCAATTTAATGTTAATATATATTATTTTAAAACAACCTGTTTAATCATTAGAATAAAATCTAAAACATTTGACCTTATTAATTATTTTCTTATTTCAGACTTTGAGATTATTGAACTTTGTTTTTCTGTTTTTCACTTTAAAATGTTTTTGATGAACAAAATGAGTAAAATAATTGAAATGCTGTGAATGAATGATGGAGATGTTTCAGTTTGGTAAAGATTCAGATGCTTTTATTTCTGATTCTTTACATCAGAATGAAATGTTGATCCTCCAGAGCCACAAACACTGACGAGTTCAAATCCTCATTAATGAACGTCTAAGAAACCACTGATTGTAGAAAAGCAATCTAGATGCAATGAATGAAAGTGAGGTTTGCAGCAGCAGCAGGTTCCTCAGCTTTGTCCTGAGGCTGTGGTTCTGTTGGGCCGGGTCAGAGAGGAACCGTCTCCTGAGGAAATAATGGCCTCCATTGGCTTTCAGCAGCTTTAATAGGAACCCAAAGGCCATTAATGAAGAACCTGACTGGTTCTGATCCAGTTACCAAGTCGGGTCTGATGATCAGGAACCAGCAGAAATAGCTCAACTCATCCAGACTGATAGAAAACTTTGAGTTTTTTTGTTGAACAAATGTTCTGGTTCTGCTGGTTTGGACTCTTTGAACCAGTTTGACTGGATCAGATGTTAGAATCACTTCATCATGTTTCTTTTACATTCAGGGAAATTAATTTATACATTTTTATTATTTATTTGTTCATATTTCAGTTTTAGTTTGCCTGCTGGTTCACATCTTTTATTCTTTATTCAGATTGGATGATTGCAGTTTATCAGAAACCAGCTGGACGTCTCTGTTCTCAGCTCTGAAGTCCAACCCGACCCATCTGACAGAACTGGGCCTGTACAGAACCAACCTGGAAGGTTCTGGACTGAAGGATCTCTGTGGTTTTCTACAGACTGAAGGCTGCAGACTGATAACATTGGTGTATGTAATGATATAATTATTGCTATTTCTGTGAATAATTCTATATAATTGATCATAAATCAAAGTTCATTTCTTCTGTTCTAATCAATATTTTCTGAGTTTGTTCCTGGATCCAGAGTTTAAATTAGTTTCTCTGTGTAACTGAGTTGGACCTGCTGATAAGAGGTCACAACAGGACAGCATTCGGACCCCAGTGTGTAGAAATCCCCTCAGGTCAAGCAGGTCAAAGGTCAACATGAAATGTCCCTTTATTGAAGATCCATAAATCCCACATTAGTTTTAAATCTTCTGCTATTAGTTGATGATGATCCAGTCCAGGTTTAAAGAGTCCAGGTGTTGCAGTGTTTTAACTAGACCAGATTAAAGATGCTGATAGTCAATAATTAGGTGGAATGGCCCTTTATCCACTTCCTGAGTCAGAAGATTCAATCAGAAACCAACTTCAGCTTCATCTGAATAAATCCAGACCACTGAGTTTTTCTCTGAGCTCAACAGGCTGCAGGTTCTTCAGGACATGAGTTTCTGCTCCCAGAATCAGAACCAGCAGAGATGCATCACATGGATCTGCAGCAGGTTGTTAGGAGAGGTTCTCCACAAGCTCAGACTAAAGGTTCACAGTCTGACAGAGACGGACAGAGAAAGTGGACTAACTGGATGAAACGGTTCCTAGAAACAGGGAAGCTTTCTGGGGACTTGACTGCTGCTCATATGGAGCTGCAGCACATGCAGCAGTTTGATGTTGGCAGGAAGCAAAACAAAATGGAAGCAAGTGATGAGTTTCCATTTTAGTGTCAATTCCACTAATGGAGCAATGAAAGTCAGTCGTCCTAAAACCAGTGAGAGCAGCTTCCAGAGGAAAATCTGAGTTTGTTGTGACAGTCAGACTCTATCAGGATGACCACAGTCTTCTGGCAGAGATCCTGGACATTAAGAGACATAAATAATATCAAGATGATTCATTAACAGTCCTGCAGGAAATACCGACTTTGTTAAAGTCATTTTGTTCAAACATCTTGATTCAGCTCTTATTTTGTAGGACAGGAAGTGAGGTCTTACCTTTGTAATGCTTTGTATGCAGCAAGCTTCAGCAGTTCACTGAAATCATTCTCATGTGTTTTACTGGAAAATAGATTTAAAATGATTCATCTTCACTATCAGGTTGTTCCTTTATGATAATATTCCCATTTCTGCAGCGTCTCTGATGAACGATTCAGAACCAGAACCAAATGACCCACAATGACCTCACAGAGAAAAGGATCAATATTTTCTAGTTGATGGTTCAGAAACTGAATCAGCACAAAATGATCAACTTTCAGAATGTGATGATATTATAAAAGGATTGAAATCAACCCGTTTCCATCTGTCATACTGAGCAATGAGCTGCAGTTAAAATACAAGCAGCAAGAAAAACATCATTAATAGATTAATGAAGAAAAACTGGAGCCATAAAATATCAGCAGATCAATGATGGACAGAGCAGTCGGAGAATCCAGAGCCTGGAAGGAAACATGGAGAGAAAAACATCCACTGAGTTTAAGATCCTCAGAAACTTTGAGACAAATTTTGACTTTCTTTGTTGATCAAATGTTCTGGTTCTGCTGGTTTGGACTCTTTAAACCAGTTTGACTGGATCACATGTTAGAATCAGTTCATCATGTTTCTTTTACATTCAGGGAAATTAATTTATACATTTTTATTCTTTATTTGTTCATATTTCAGTTTTAACTGCATCCTGTTGGTTCACATCTTTTATTCTTTATTCAGATTGGATCACTGCAGTTTATCAGAGACCAGCTGGACGTCTCTGTTCTCAGCTCTGAAGTCCAACCCGACCCATCTGACAGAACTGGACCTGTTCAGAACCAACCCGGAAGGTTCTGGACTGAAGGATCTCTGTGGTTTTCTACAGACTAAAGGCTGCAGACTGAATACATTGAGGTATTTTAATGATATAATTATTGATATTTCTGTGAATAATTCTATATAATTGATCATAAATCAAAGTTCATTTCTTCTGATCTAATCAATAATTTCTGAGTTTGTTCCTGGACTTGGATCCAGAGTTTAATTTAGTTTCTCTGTGTAACTGAGTTGGACCTGCTGATCTGAGGTCAGAACAGGACAGCATTCGGACCCCAGTGTGTAGAAATCCCCCTCAGGTCAAGCAGGTCAAAGGTCATCCAGTCTAGAAAAGTGAATTTCTGGAATCTGACAGGAACAAATCAATAATCAATGATTGATGCTTCAACACTTTGATCAGAACCTGGAATGATTTTATTGACTAAAATCCTCCAACACATCATGACCCAGTACCTGGTTCTGGTTCTGGTTCTGAAGTCAGCAGGTCTTTATTGAAGCAGCAGCTTGTTGGCATTAATATTCATGAGAATCTTTAACTGGTTCTGTTGGACTGGTTAACCTGCATCCTGTTGGTTCACATCTTTTATTCTTTATGCAGGTTGAGGAGCTGCAGTTTGTCAAAGATCAGCTGTGATTATTTGGCCTCAGCTCTGAAGTCCAACCCGACCCGTCTGACATATCTGAACCTGAGAGGAAACAAGCTGAAGAAATCAGATGTTCAGCAGCTGAAAGATCTCGTTGAGACTGTATGGTAAGTAAATGTTTGTAGTGAGTCCAGCTGCTGTCAGCATATTGAACTAAACCCAGTCAGCATCAAAGCAAAGATCCAGTGTTCCCAGTAAAGCTGCAGCTTCTCAGTGGGAGGAGAATGGTTCAGACTTCCTGATTGGACACAGAGACAGCAATCAGCCAATCAGAGGAGCAGCAGCTTGCTGTGTTGTTGCTGTGTCCATGTCTCCAGGACGTCCAGCTGGACTCCAGCGTCCAGCCGTCCAACATGTCTAGAGACAGTGGTCCTCATTCATCAAACAGCAGCAGATCTGATCTCAGACATGCTTCTTCTCTCAGTTCAACAGGAAACAACTGATCAGGTTCATCTTGGTCACAGCTCTGAGATCAGTCTGACTGGAAACCATCTACTGGATGTGCTGCGTCACTGACTGCTGCTGGAGAGGCTGGAAACACTCACTGATCTGCTCTCCTTCCTTCTTCTCTCTGCAGGTTCTGATCTCTGTAAAGTAGAGAACGTCTCTGTGTCCTGCTGATCCTCAGAGGTTGAAGGTGCAGCAGTTTGAGTCTAAAGAGACTCTGGATCAAGATGATGACCTTTGACCTCAGAACATTTTCTATTTCAAATGTTTTCCAGACGTCAATCAGGATGTTGAAGATTTTCAGTTTTATTTTTGGACTCTTTACTGGATCATCTGTAAAGAGTACATCTGTTTGATGATCTGCAGGAACAAAAGAGAGAAAAATACTCTGAGTTCATTAGAAAAGTTAAATTGAGTAGAAACATGAAACATTAATTTCATTAAAAACTTGTTAATGGGACAAATTGTAATTTTATTCTGTCGTGGTGAAAAGTTGATCTAAAATCAGACATGATAGCAGCTCTATAGATTCAGAGCCAAACAGTAAAACTTCCTCTGGATCTGTGGCATTAAATCCACTTGAGATCCAGACGTCCTGACCAGATCCTGCAGAGAAAAGAAACAATATTTGAACGTGGATCATTTGGACTCGGCTGCTTGGATGTGTGTTTGGATTTGAAAGGTTTTATTGTGAAGCAGAAAGTTGATGAAGTTCACAGTGAAGACGACTTCAGTCCACCTGAAACCTGGTTTCACTCAAACCGTCTTTATTCACTTTAAGTTTCTGATGCAACAAGAAGGAAGAAAAGGTCAAAGGTGAACCAGAGATCGACTCCATGTTGCTCACAGATGTGATGGGATCAGTTTGCACAGCTGTTGTTCAAGGAGAACAGTTTTATTTTCCAGCTTTTGACGAAATCATCTGAATGTTGTGACTCGTTTCCCATCAAATCCCTGACAGGAGAAGCAAAACCTCACGTCTCCAACATGAAACTGCAACAGGATGCAGAACTTCCACCGAGCGTCACGTCACTCACAGCAGATCAGGAGCCTCGCTCTTCTCCTAAACACCGCCTAAAACCTGGGACAAGGGGTTAAAGGTCATCTCCTGCACCTAGTGCAACATTTCACTTCTTATGAGAGCGGGTCTCAGTTTAGAGGCCAAAACCAGCAAGAAGCTTCAGAGTTTTCCTGCAACGTAGCTCTGGTCTATTGGCTTCAGTGAGGCTGGTTTTACTGAAGATGTGTTCAGGTCAGCAGGAAAATTCAGCGCTGATACAGGCGGGACGAGCGACTCAACCTCTGATGATGATTGGATAAAAATTTATATGTTCAGATCTACATGAGATGAAACAGTTAATTTTCCTCACATATCAGGACATTCTCCATCGGTCACCCTGCCGTCGTTCTGGATTTATTCATTATTTACATCATCAATAGAAATTGTTCAACCAGATGTTTATCTCTGTTTTAATTTTCACTTTTATAAAGTCAAAGCAAGTCAGCTTACATTACTGTTGTTAAATAAGAGTCACTGCAGGATTTTATTCCGTCTGATTAGAAATTAAATGTCTTGTAAATAGTTTAAGACAGCAGCTTTATTTTATGATTTAAAACAGTTTTTATTACATATATAACTCCAAACATTGAATTAAAATATGTCAGAATATTATTTGAGTTAGTAAACTGTCAATATGATTCAGGAAGACTGTTTGTTTTCTCTAAACTCCACATTAAGTGAATATTAACTGTAAATAATGCAGCATGATCAGGGCTGTAGTTCCCACTATGGCCACCAGATGGAGGAAATACCCCTTTCTGAAAATAGAGGCGAGATTGTGGAGCTGCAGCTGGTTTCTGGAAATTGTGTTTTATCTGTCAGTGTGAACTAGAAGCGGCTCCACAGATGAAAACATCCCGCAGAGACTCTGAGCGGAGCTAACGATGCTAACAGACGAGCAGCGGCTTCAGGGGAGCTGTGGCTCCTAAACTGGAGCTTCAGCTCCAACAGAGCTGAATCAAAGCTCTACAGCTCTGGTTTATACGCTAAGATACTGAGCTTCCGGTCTAAAGGTAGGAAAATATTTAAGAAAAGTTAAATTATCCTGGAATCAGAATGATGTTGATGTTTTAGCTACAGAGTCGCGAACTGAACTATTAGAGCAGGGCGGATTTTGCCCTCTAGTGGACCCAGATGGTAACTACAGCTACTTGAGAAAATCAGAGCGTTTACAAACCACATTCACTTCCGCTGTTACTTTCACAATAAGAGCCATAGAAACGAATTCCTCTGTTAGCTTTCATTTGAAATAATACATTTTACTTTCGTTGTTTTTCTCTCTGAAACAATAAACTGTTATTCAAGAGCAGAAAATTAAATTGTACTCATTTCAAACGGAAATTATTTTCAGTTCAGAAAAGTATTTAAATAACATTAACAGCAGCCCCATCTCTGACCCAGATCTATCTCTGACCCGGTTCCATCTCTGACCATCCATCATTTTATTTGAGAAAAAAGATTTTACATATTTTTATCTTTTTATGTTCATTCTAAAATCTAAATAATAAAGTTTTTATCATCCTTGATTCTCAGCTTGAATTGTCTCAGTTTATTTTGGTTTTTACTTTTTTAACTCCATATTTCATGTTTTGAGTTTTAGGACTCGATGTGTCTCATCAGACTCTTTACTGAGATTTACTGATTTACTGAGACCTCGGAGAATCACTGGGATAATGTGCTGATTGGGTCATGATTGCTTTTTTTTTTATAATTCTTCTAACGTAATTTGGGTTCCTCTGTGTTTAATGATAATTCAATAAAGTTTTATAAAATGTTCAACAGAACAATTTTTTTTTTCATTTTTAGTTTGACAGCTTGTTAAAACAGAAACATCCTGTTAAATTAATCTGAGATTTTTAAGCTTCTAATAAAGGCAAAAGTTTATTTTTATGTTATTCAGACTGAAGATGTTTAAATAAAACACATAAGAACCATTTAAATGATAAATGCTGTTATGTTTTTCTCTAGGCTTCTTCGTTAACCTGCTTCAAACAATTAGGGTACATTTATTATCTCCCCAGTGTTTTATTAGAAATATATTTTCAATGATTGATATTTATTTTAATTATATTTTCAGTCCATGATTCTCCAAATTACCCACAGTGAATCTTTTGGGAAATTTTTCATTGAAGTTTAGTTATATATTAATTTATGAATCCTGTAGTGACTGATTTAACAACATTAATGTAAGTTGATTTTTTTTTTCTTGATAAAACTGAATCCTGAATCTTCTAGTTTCTTCTTGAAATGATTTCCTGCAATAAAATGTTGGCTGGAAAAGAGCTGAAAACTGAGAAAAACCTGAAAAGTTCAAATGTGACCTAAAGTTTTACAGCTTAACTCACTGGTGATACAAAGAGAAACATGAAAGTAAAAGTGTTTATTGTCACCTGAAAGGGGGAGGAGTCTAAGATGCTTCCAGATGCTTAAAGTCACCTTGAAGGGGGCGGAGCCTCAGGTACGGATGAGGATCAGGACTAACAGGTTCAGACTCCAGTTAGCAGCAGAGCAGAGTCTGGATCTGGTGAGTTTTCACTTTTTCTTGTTTTCCTCTCTCTGGGTTTTCTTTCTGTGGAGGGACCAGAACTCGGCCCGGTTCTCCTTCAGAACCAAGTAGCTGGCTTCATGGAGCTGTGGTTCTGGTCGGATTCTGGTTTCCTGTTAATCAGAACCAACAAACTCTCTTAAAGCTGCAGTTTCCTGTTGCTGAGCTGACCTGTGAATAAATTCTAGTCTGTCTCCTGCAGAGCAACACGTCCTGCTCCGTATTTCTGTTCAGTTTCATAACGAGCCTCTGATGACATCACAAGAGGCCTCATCTCTGACTCTCCCAGTAAACAGACTGGGACACCAGTGGGTCTCTGATTATGATTCATGTCTGCAACTTCCTCATCAGGACTGCTGCTCAGAACCTGTTTTTAAGCCCCGCCCCTTTAGAGCAGCAGGTAAACGCTTGTTCTGTCGCAGGAATTTGAACCGACCCGTTGGTCCTGGTTCTGTAGCTCTTCCTCCTCACTGAGATTCGTCTTTTTCCAGGTTTTCCTCTTGTTGCTTCTTACAGCAAGTAGAAACTCTTTGTCTCTCAAAGCTCTGTTGGAAAACTGCATGTAGATCCAGACTGACTGATCCAGAACCAGTTGCCAACTCAACAAAAGAAATTGTTTAGGCTAAAATCAAAATCAGGAGGTGAAGCTTTTTAAAGATCGGCGATCGGTCAGAAAACTGCAATCGGTGCATCCCTAAAATAACTTAATAATATCTTTAAATGGAGCAATAATAATAATTTAAACACATTTTATATCAGTTGTGAGAAACTATTTACATTTCAGTTTCTAGCTAAAAATGTTGCATTAATGTGCCTCTTGATATTGAATTTATATTCTGAGATGGATCAATTGACTAAATGTTTCATCCCCCTATAGAAGCAGCTGTTTATCCATGATTCCTTGCAGCGGGTCCAGCTGGTATTTACCCATGATTCCTTGCAGCAGGTCCTGCTGGTATTTACCCATGATTCCTTGCAGTGGGTCCAGCTGGTATTTACCCATGATTCCTTGCAGCGGGTCCAGCTGGTACCTCAGCTGGATGCTGTGGTCCCTGAAAGCTGCTTTGTGACTCTTTAGCCGAGAGGAAATCCTGCTGAGCTGCACACAGAGGCTGACATGTTGCTGAGATCCCAGCTGGACCCGGTTCTGTCTGGAGGAGAGCTGTGGACCCGACCTGAGTTGCTGCTCCCTCAGAACCTCCTGCACACTGACTCCCTCCATATAGATTTACAGTAGAGTCAAATGTTCACTCCTTTCATTCACCTGATTCACTTTGATACTCTAAACACATAATGGGAACCAGCTTTCTGCTTCCAGTTACTGGAACTGGATCACTGGGACTGACTGGTTCTGGTTTCTCTCTCAAAAGGTCCAGAAGATGGAAGATCTGGATCTAAAAGAACCTCCAGGATCCATCAGTCCATCTATGAAGAGTGACCGGTCCAAACCAGAACCTCCACTCTTCAGTACTGAACCTGGACCCTCAGACAGAAAGTAAGAAACCAGTTTCTAACTGATTCATGTGAATCTACAGAGATAACATATAAATTAACTGATTGATCTCAGTGTTTTAATAAACAGTAACTTAATTTTCTTACTTATTAATTTAAAGTTAGACATGAAGGATGTTGGTCAGTAAATCAGTTTGAATGAATTAATATGAATTAAAATGTTGCATGAAAACAAAAACATGTGAAGAGCAACAATTCAGATTGTCTGTAAACCCACTGAAGCAGTGAAACCAGCATCTTCCAGACTGGGAACACTGGCATCAGTCATCATACCAAATATAATTCAATGAGGTACTTAAAACCAGAAATCATCAATGTTCTGAGGTTCTGTTCTGACCCAGTTTCAGGTCCCTGGTTCTTTGTGGACCTTCATGAACATGTTCAGCTCCAGCCTGTTGCTAGTGAATATTTCAGTGATGAAGAAATGTCTTCACAGGAGGAGCTTTAATGAGGAGGAGCTTCCATCCTGCTGTGCTTTGGGTCAGAATGTTCTGATGGATCCGGGCTGGACCAGCTGCCCCCAGTATGGGAAACGACCCAGAACAGGATCCAGACTCCTGATAGCCAATCAGAGCAGCCGTGCTCCAGGTGAGACTGAACATGTCCAATCAGAGCTTCTTCCTTCCAGATCCACGTCTTTAGTTGAGATTTGAACATCTAAGGTTTAAAAGTTTTTTTGTGATCAGTTGTTTCAACTGAATCTGACTTTTTTCAGCTGGTGTAACTGGAACTTAAGTCTCGGTAACTCGGCTTAATAAAGTCCTCATTTAATTTGACCCTGCTCCAAAAATTGGTCACAAGATAAATGTACAAATTAGATTTTTATTTTGTTTGTTTTTAAAATTACAAGTGAAGACTCTTACTCTGAAGGGTCATGTTGCAGCATAACATGTCATCAGCTCAAAATTAAACAGACACTTCATAGAATCAAATTGATGATTCTTACAGATAATTTTATTATGAGGTTAAGGAGAATGAAATAGCAGAAAGGATGGCTAAGGAGAGCAGCAATCAGGTATTGGTTGATATTAATGTTGTGTTTAGAATAACAGAAATAAAGTGAAAATAACAAGAAAAGAGGTGGCAAAAGTTATAGCTCAGCAAATTGTCCTGCTGCCAAAATGGTGAATCTGATCTGCTGAGAAGGATTTTTGTTCTATTTTTATTGGTTATTTCACCAGATCTTTAAGGTTCTGCTGGAAAATTGGAGCTTACAATTATAGCTTTCAATTTGGGAAGTGATTAAAGGACAATAGAGAGACAGTGATTTAAACTCTGTCAGTTTAAATCACTTTCTGCCCATTAGAAAGTGATTTTGAGCAACCTCAGAGGTCTCTGAAGTCTCGGAAAAGCTCCTGGTTCAAGTTTGAGGTTCAGTCTGGCAGATGATGGTAAATGTAGAATATAATAAGGAGTTATGTTACAGAAAAGCTTCTTCAGGAAGTGAATAGTTTGTGATCCAAACGTTGTTGGAGAATTATCAGGCAGATGAATGTGAGGACAGCAGAGCTGCAGCAGCAACAGAGGAGTGGAGGACAATCTGGGGACCAACAAGGCTCCTGAAACCATGGAGCACAGAAATCACAAGAGGTGAACTAGAGAAAGATTACTAGAAACAATAACTACATGCTATAGTGAAGAGTTAAAAACTCAGAGAGACAATTAGTGACTTGTCCCCTGTCTGCCAGATCCTGGCTTTTACCTGGATTTATGGAAATATTTTCCCTAATCACAATCTACAGTTTAAAGTATTCTGCTATTATTGTAGAATAATGTAACCCATATTTTAAGAGTGCAAGTATGTCAGCTTTTAAACTCAAGCAGATTGAAAACGCTCAAAGGTAAAGGCGGCCTTTTAACCGTTTCCTGAATTGGAAGCTCAATCTGAAGCCAACTTCAGCTCTGTAAAATCCAAACTGTTTCCTGAGTTTGATTTCATGAATGAGAAGTAAGATGGTGAATCACAACTCAGATCGCCCTAAAACCTGAACTAACAGGAGCTGGGCCCCCTGCTGGATGTTGTTTACATCAGAATTAGTATGATTTGGCCATAATTTGGTGCTAAAATAGCAGCAGCCCAAGACGCCATCAAAGAGTATAATTTGATACATGGGTCTATGTTGTTGTTTGTTATATTAATGTCTATTTTTGTGATTCTCATTCCAAGTATTTTGTGTAGTTTTGACTGCAAATATCTCAGTAAATTTGAATTAAATGAAAATATACAGACAATGTGACTTTGTTAAGTGTTTATTTTGCTTTGTTCTTTACCAAATGATAAACCAGCAGTCTAATATATTCTCTGGTCTGCAGTTATTAACACACCCAGCCTATCACTGCTGTCATTACCTGAATCTAGTGCTGGTCCCACTGTGTTCTCCAATATATTCTAGTAAATGTTACATGTTGACCCCAACAACCTGTGGGTTTGCTTGGAAGTGGCTCTGTTTTTATCATTTTGTGATAAATACAATAAAACTCAACATTTTCTTAAAGCTGGTCATGATTTTGATGCATGAAGACAAAAAGGTGAAAAACAACCTGCTTTAAAACTGTTTTAACAGAAAGAGGGAAGGAATGTCAGAGAGACAGAAACCTTTATTCACTCTGACAATATAACACAGACTGCATTATATATATTTACAGAATAAATGCAATAATACTAACAATCTGTTGGACCAAATCAGATTGGCTCAACCATTTCCAGTCTCTAATTGTTCCTTAAAAAGTCCAATCCAGTCTCTAACTGAGAAAAGTCATTTTAAATGTGAACATTAATGATGTAATGATTCATTTCTTTGGCAGATTAAAGCTTTTTCTCCAGATTTCTTTCATAAAGGCTGAAAATGAAGGGAGGAAACATTTTTCTGTCTCAATAAGGACAATGATGACATGATGCAGAAGAGTTGATGTTACTGAAAACTCCTGCATTCAATGACTCTGATGGTTTTGTTCCAATTTTATCACTGAATCATGTTTTTTACTACAGTTGTCTTCTGTGTTTGAGCAGATGTTGGTCTGCAGGAGGTTCTAGAGGAACATAAGATCAGTCTGAGGAGAAGATGTGAACGTGTGACTGAAGGAAGTGATGAAACAGGAAGTAGAACCCTCCTCAATAGGATCTACACTGATCTCTTCATCACAGAGGGACAGAGTGACGAGGTTAACACCCAGCATGAGGTGAAGCAGCTGGAGAGAGCTTCCAAGTTCCAGAACCTCCATGTTTCTGCAATCAGGGTCCACGACCTTTTTAAAGCCTTCCCTGATCAACATGGAGCCGTCAGAGTGGTTCTGACCAACGGCGTTGCTGGTGTTGGAAAAACCTTCTCAGTGCAGAAGTTCACTCTGGACTGGGCTGAGGGCTTGGAGAACCAAGATGTCAGTGTGGTGGTTCTGCTTTCGTTCAGGGAGCTGAACTTGATCAGAGATAGGCAGCACAGTCTTCTCTCTCTGCTCCATGTTTTCCATCCAACACTCCAGAAGCTCCCAGCAGAGCAACTGGCTAAATGCAAACTCCTCTTCATCCTTGACGGTCTGGATGAAAACAGACTTTCATTGGACTTCAACAACAGTCATCTGGTTTCTGACGTCACACAGAAATCATCGGTTAATGTTCTGCTGACAAACCTCATCAAGGGGAACCTGCTTCCCTCGACTCTCATCTGGATAACTTCCAGACCTGCAGCGGCCAATCAGATCCCTCCTTCATGTGTTACCAGGGCAACAGAAGTACGAGGCTTCACCGATGCCCAGAAGGAGGAGTACTTCAGGAGGAGGTTCAGTGATGAAGAGCTGTCCAGCAGAATCATCTCCCACATCAAGACCTGCAGGAGCCTCCACATCATGTGTGGAATCCCAGTCTTCTGCTGGATCACTGCTACAGTTCTGGAGAACATGGTGACCTCAGAGCAGAGAGGAGAGCTGCCCAAGACCATGACTGACATGTACTCTCACTTCCTGCTGGTCCAGACAAAGAGGAAGAAGAACAAGTACCATGGAGGACATGAGGCAAGTCCACAGGAGCTGATGGAGGCTGACAGGGAAGTTCTTCTGAAGCTGGGGAGGCTGGCGTTTGAACATCTGGAGAAAGGAAACATCATGTTCTACCAAGAAGACCTGGAGCAGTGTGGTCTGGATGTCACAGAGGCCTCAGTGTACTCAGGAGTTTGTACAGAGATCTTCAAAAGAGAGAGTGTGATCTTCCAGAAATCAGTCTACTGCTTTGTTCATCTGAGCATCCAGGAGTTTCTGGCTGCAGTCTACATGCTCCACTGCTTCACCAGCAGGAAGTCAGAGGAGATCAAGACGTTCCTGGGAGACGAATACAGAGAAACATCTCTAGATGAGTTCATGAAGAAAGTCATGGAGAAATCCCTCAGCAGTCAAAATGGCCACCTGGACCTGTTCGTCCGCTTCCTTCATGGTCTCACTGTGGAGTCCAACCAGAGAGTCTTAGAAGATCTGCTGGGTCAGACAGAGACCAGTCCAGAAACCATCCAGAGAATCATCACCAACCTGAAGGAGATGAACACTGATAAAATTTCTCCTGACAGAAGCATCAACATCTTCTACTGTCTGGTGGAGATGAACAACGTCTCATTTTATCAGGAGATCCAACGGCTGCTGGATTCAGGGAAGCAGCTCTCAGTGACTAACTGTTCAGCTCTGGCCTTCATGCTGCAGATGTCAGAGGTTCTGGATGAGTTGGACCTGGAGAAGTACAACACATCAGAATCTGGACGACGGAGACTGGTTCCAGCTGTGAGGAACTGCAGAAAGGCTCGGTGAGTCCAGATGTTTTCATTGTGTGATGCTGATTCAGCTCTATTGTCCTCCTGTTTCTTCTTCTGTCTTCAAGTTGATTCTGGATGTTTTTGCTCTTTATCTACTTCCTTCATCCTCTGGATTATTTCAGCCAATCAAACATCTAAACATTCAGCTCATCCAGGACAGATGCAGCTTCTGGTTTTACACATTTTGATCATTTTTAAAATATTTAACTTTTTATCAGTTTTCAGGTTGAAATGAATAGAAAACCCTGAACTCTAGAAAATCTATTTTCTCTAAGATCCAATCAGCCAGAGAAACTTTTAAACTTTAAACTCTTCACTCATTGAGCCGCTGCTCCATCATTCATATTTAAGGATCTTTGACTGTTTTTATAAAATAATTTTTTAGGTTTAATGTGAATTTAAACCATTAAAATAAACATTTGCATTAATTATAAACTTTGTAAACAGTGTTGATCTTCATCATCCTCTCCTCTTCCTCCTCCCTCTAGTTTCCTCTGAGTTTGTAAATGAGACCAAAATGTGGTTTTTGTCGTCTGGTTCCAGAAAAAGTTCTAGTTTCTGTCAGATCCTCCCAAAGCTCTGAGAATCTGCTTCCAGAGCTGGAACCATTTTCCTCATCAACTCTTCATCTGCAGCCTTTGTTGAAGCTGTTAGCTGTCCTCCATGAAGACCTGCAGAGACATGAGCTTCAACTCTGGAGACATCCTGCCTCTTCTAGTTACTGGAGAACTTTCACTGCTTCACCATGAAATGCTGCTGGACCCAAACGCTCCGTCTCCTCCAGGGGTTTTGCTCTTCAGCTCTTTAGGAGTTTAGCAACAATTTCTCCTGACATCCAAACCTTTGTTCCTCTGAGACAATGGACAGACCACTGCAGAGACATGTGTCCCTCTTCCAACCAGTTTGTCCCAGTTCCTCTCAGATCAACAGTCTGAGAGGACGGTTCTGACCCGAAGGAGCAGCAGGACCGGTTCTGCTGCTGCTCTGCAGGACGACCAGAACAACGTGAAGCTTTTAGCTGCAGCAGGTTGACGACTGTCCACTTTCTACTTTGTTAAAGCATCAAATCCAGCAGATGAACGGAGACAGAACTGGAGCATCATGTGTTTGTTCTGCTCCCAGTTTCCTCTGTGGCAGCATTTAATAACCTGCTGCTGGGAAACATGTTTCTATACAATATATTACTATTATTCATGATGATGCAGCAGATATTACACTGTAACAAACTGCCCTGTATTTTTACAGTAAAATGCTGTCAGCAGGGTTGCCAGCATTTTACTGTTAATTATATAATACCCTTACTGTAATCAACTTTACAGTATATTTCTGTCACAAAAGAAATCTTTTGATTACAGCACATTGCTGTTTTTTATCAGATTTACAGTAGACTACTGGCAGCACTGCTGCCAGTATATTACAGTTTTTCTACGGTACCATTACTGTTGAATTCCCATACAGCTTCCTACTGTAAATTTCCAATATAAAATAGAAACATGAAAAGAAAACACTTAGAAAATGTAAGTTCCATCATGTCAAACATTTATTTGGAAAAAAAAAGAACCAACTCAAACATTGACTCATACAGTCTTTAGTGGGCCACATAATAAAGACGAAGGTTTTGAAACGACAATGTATGTGTGCCTTAAACCTAAACCTTTTCTACAAGAATGTTGAGGGTAAACTGTCCAAAGTAAGTCATATTCTGGAAAAACAGTAAGAAAATCACCATCTATTTTGTGAAATAAATTTCTTAACTGATGTAAAGAGCATTTGAATAAAGCATGAATTGCGGCCTTTTGATTAGTCTGAAATAAAATAAGTATGAAATAAATTATGGAAATAATGCATTGTACAACTCAGCACACTACTTTTTCAATACAAAATACTACTTTTTGTGGAATTGAGGAACAATATGATGCAACATAAAACAAATGAAACATTTAACTTTCAATCTAAAGCATAGAAAAAAATTGCAAATTTTAGTTTGATAAAAATTTAAATGAAACATTTAGACATGAATTTCCTTTAGGGCAAAATCAGAGCTCCAACTTCAAATGATAAAACAATGAAACAATATTTGACAAGATAAGTTAAACATGGTGCCTGTACAGTCAGAATTACATCTGAAGAACAGAAAGTGGGAGCCTTAACAAAATGTATGCTCTTCATTAAAAGAGATGTCTTAAGATTATGCTGACCTTTAAACCAAAAAAATCTCTCAAGAACACTCCTGTTCAGGGATAAGTTGCCTTCATGCCTGTATAGTTTTTTGTTTGTTTGTTTTTGCGTGGAGGGGCAAACAATATCTATAGCTTGGTTAGAAAGTTCTCACTATGAAATTCCACTCAAAGTCCATGAGGTTTTTCAGCAGAGTTGAAACACGGGGGATGACAGTGACCGACTTCTTTTGAAAAGTTTTCCCTGTCCTCTTGGAGATGATCTTGCTACAGCTGGCCTTGGTCCGGGTTGATATCAAGAAAGCGTCTGAAAATGCAGTAATTTCAGATTAGCATATGATGCTTAAGGAGTCAGGGTTTAATGTGTGCTAGATGAAGACAAACTTTTGAATATTAAGAGTTAATAAAGAGACACCAGCATAACATTTAAACAGTTTTCTGCCAAGTCAACTTTGTGAAACTCCAAATTCCCAGTTGATATCATTCACCAATTTCACTTTAGCAGCTAAATAGAGCAATTCAAGTTAAATTACACAAAAGAAAGAAAAAGAGCTTCCAAACATGTCAATATTTGTAAATATGAATCATCAAAAACGACTTACCTTAGGATTGGCTCATAAAATGCAGGATTCAAATGGATAGTCCTTGTAAAGAAAGTTCTAGACGTTGCTTCCACATGTCACAACAACATGTCTTCTTCAGAAATACAGTAGCGTTCTGTTCAAAGAGAGCCTCCTTACCGTTGAATCTAACATCATTCCCAAAATGCAATGCTCACAGTATACTACAGTATTTTATTAAAAACAGTAATAATTGCCCAGAATGCATTGTTTTTCACGGTGCAGTACCGTTTTCAATAGAAACAGTATGATACTGTTCAGTTTTGGCCGTTTTTTTACAGCAATTGGTTACAGTGTAGCTAAACAAACCCAGAGATGCCAGAGGTCCACAGCAGCTGGACTTCCTGTTCTGCTCACTTCATTTATAACTCACTTCCTGCTTGGTGGAAGATCTAAACGGTCTAGTCCAAGTCAGAGCTGTGAGCAGTTCCTCCTCCTCTCCATCATCTCCAGTCGTTTCCTTCATTCAGCTCAGTCAGCCTCTTCATCAGCTGCTGCAGAGAAACTGAACTTTCCTTCACTGATGATAGAAGATCTTCAACATCTGACTGCAGCTGAAGGTCTGAGGACATGAAGCCTGGACCAGAACCAGAACCAGAACCTGGACTTTAACCAGGAACTGCACAGATTATCTGAGGGGTCAAACTCAGTAGATTGAAGATCAGATATTGATCAGATGATGATCAGATGATGACATCACTGTTATCATATTTTAGTCTGTTTATGATCCAGATTGATTTCATTAGAACTGAATTTATTTCTTCTCTAATCACAGACTTGGTGGATGTTTGCTCCAAAAGGCTGAATGTGAAGTTTTGGCCTCGGCTCTGAAGTCCAACCCAGATCTGACTGAACTGGAAATAAATCAGATCTACATGTATAAAGGTGGAGAATCTGATATGAAGCATCTGGTTGAGATCCTGGAGAATTCAGTCAGTAAAGTGAAGAAACTGAGGTTTGTTTTTTTAATTTATACAATACAATCGTTTATTGATACTTTAATCAGTAGTTTGTCAATTTAATGTTAATATATATTATTTTAAAACAACCTGTTTAATTGTCAGAATAACATTTTGACCTTATTAATATTTTCTTATTTCAGACTTTGACATTATTGAACTTTGTTTTTCAGTTTTTCACTTTAAAATGTTTTTGATGAACAAAATGAGTAAAATAATTGAAATGCTGTGAATGAATGATGGAGATGTTTCAGTTTGGTAAAGATTCAGATGCTTTTATTTCTGATTCTTTACATCAGAATGAAATGTTGATCCTCCAGAGCCACAAACACTGACGAGTTCAAATCCTCATTAATGAACGTCTAAGAAACCACTGATTGTAGAAAAGCAAATCTAGATGCAATGAATGAAAGTGAGGTTTGCAGCAGCAGCAGGTTCCTCAGCTTTGTCCTGAGGCTGTGGTTCTGTTGGGCCGGGTCAGAGAGGAACCGTCTCCTGAGGAAATAATGGCCTCCATTGGCTTTCAGCAGCTTTAATAGGAACCCAAAGGCCATTAATGAAGAACTTGACTGGTTCTGATCCAGTTACCAAGTCGGGTCTGATGATCAGGAACCAGCAGAAATAGCTCAACTCATCCAGACTGATAGAAAACTTTGAGTTTCTTTGTTGATCAAATGTTCTGGTTCTGCTGGTTTGGACTCTTTAAACCAGTTTGACTGGATCAGATGTTAGAATCAGTTCATCATGTTTCTTTTACATTCAGGGAAATTAATTTATACATTTTTATTATTTATTTGTTCATATTTCAGTTTTAACTCCATCCTGTTGGTTCACATTTTTTATTCTTTATTCAGATTGATTTTCTGCAGTTTCTCAGAGACCAGCTGGACGTCTCTATTCTCAGCTCTGAAGTCCAACCCGACCCGTCTGACAGAACTGGACCTGAACAGAACCAACCTGGAAGGTTCTGGACTGAAGGATCTCTGTGGTTTTCTAAAGACTGAAGGCTGCAGACTGGAGACATTGAGGTATTTTAATGATATAATTATTGATATTTCTGTGAATAATTCTATATAATTGATCATAAATCAAAGTTCATTTCTTCTGATCTAATCAATATTTTCTGAGTTTGTTCCTGGATCCAGAGTTTAATTTAGTTTCTCTGTGTAACTGAGTTGGACCTGCTGATCTGAGGTCAGAACAGGACAGCATTCGGACCCCAGTGTGTAGAAATCCCCCTCAGGTCAAGCAGGTCAAAGGTCATCCAGTCTAGAAAAGTGAATTCCTGGAATCTGACAGGAACACATCAATAATCAATGATTGATGCTTCAACACTTTGATCAGAACCTGGAATGATTTTACTGACTAAAATCCTCCAACACATCATGACCCAGTACCAGGTTCTGGTTCTGGTTCTGAAGTCAGCAGGTCTTTATTGGAGCAGCAGCTTGTTGGCATTAAAATTCATGAGAATCTTTAACTGGTTCTGTTGGACTGGTTAACCTGCATCCTGTTGGTTCACATCTTTTATTTTTTATTCAGGTTGTGGAGATGCAGTTTGTCAAAGATCAGCTGTGATTATTTGGCCTCGACTCTGAAGTCCAACCCGACCCGTCTGACAAGACTGGACCTGCAAGGAAACCACCTGGAGGATTCAGATGTTCAGCAGCTGAAGGATCTTGTAAAGACTGTAAAGTAAGTAAATGTTTGCAGTGAGTCCAGCTGCTGTCAGCATATTGAACTAAACCCAGTCAGCATCAAAGCAAAGATCCAGTGTTCCCAGTAAAGTTGCAGCTTCTCAGTGGGAGGAGAATGGTTCAGGCTTCCTGATTGGACACAGAGACAGCAATCAGCCAATCAGAGGAGCAGCAGCTTGCTGTGTTGTTGCTGTGTCCATGTCTCCAGGACGTCCAGCTGGACTCCAGCGTCCAGCCGTCCAACATGTCTAGAGACAGTGGTCCTCATTCATCAAACAGCAGCAGATCTGATCTCAGACCTGCTTGTTCTCTCAGTTCAACAGGAAACAACTGATCAGGTTCATCTTGGTCACAGCTCTGAGATCAGTCTGACTGGAAACCATCTACTGGATGTGCTGCGTCACTGACTGCTACTGGAAACACTCACTGATCTGCTCTCCTTCCTTCTTCTCTCTGCAGGTTCTGAAGTAGAGAACGGTCTCAGTGTCCTGCTGATCCTCAGAGGTTGAAGCTGCAGCAGTTTGAGTCTAAAGAGACTCTGGATCAAGATGATGACCTCTGACCTCAGAACATTTTCCTTTTCTATTTCAAATGTTTTCCAGACGTCGATCAGGATGTTGAAGATTTTCAGTTTTATTTTTCATCTGATCTGTTTGATGATCTGCAGGAACAAAAGAGAGAAAATACTCTGAGTCCATTAGAAAAGTTAAATTGAGTAGAAACATGAAACATTAATTTAATTAAAAACTTGTTAATGGGACAAATTGTAATTTTATTCTTTTGATGAAAAAGTTGATCTAAAATCAGACATGATAGCAGCTCTATAGATTCAGAGCCAAACAGTAAAACTTCCTCTGGATCTGTGGCATTAAATCCACTTGAGATCCAGACGTCCTGACCAGATCCTGCAGAGAAAAGAAACAATATTTGAACGTGGATCATTTGGACTCGGCTGCTTGGACGTGTGTTTGGATTTGAAAGGTTTTGTTGTGAAGCAGAAAGTTGATGAAGTTAACAGTGAAGACGACTTCAGTCCACCTGAAACCTGGTTTCACTCAAACCGTCTTTATTCACTTTAAGTTTCTGATGCAACAAGAAGGAAGAAAAGGTCAAAGGTGAACCAGAGATCGACTCCATGTTGCTCACAGATGTGATGGGATCAGTTTGCACAGCTGTAGTTCAAGGAGAACAGTTTTATTTTCCTGCTTTTGTTGATGGATGTAAATTTGCATCAGAAGATGAGAAAATAACTTTCTGTGGTTTATTTGTGTGGATTTAAAGTGGAACAAGTTTAAAGAAAAACTAGAGGAGAAACCTGAGCCAGCGTTTGACAGACCAAACACTGAGGAACCAGAGTTTGCATCGTCAAAGTGACGAAATCATCTGAATGTTGTGACTCGTTTCCCATCAAATCCCTGACAGGAGAAGCAAAACCTCACGTCTCCAACATGAAGCTGCAACAGGATGCAGAACTTCCACCGAGCGTCACGTCACTCACAGCAGATCAGGAGCCTCGCTCTTCACCTCAACACCACCTAAAACCTGGGACAAAGGGTTAAAGGTCATCTCCTGCACCTAGTGCAACATTTCACTTCTTATGAGAGCGGGTCTCAGTTTAGAGGCCAAAACCAGCAAGAAGCTTCAGAGTTTTCCTGCAACGTAGCTCTGGTCTACTGGCTTCAGTGAGGCTGGTTTTACTGAAGATGTGTTCAGGTACGCAGGAAAATTCAGCGCTGATACAGACGGGACGAGCGACTCCACCTCTGATGATGCTTGGATAAAAGTTCATATGTACATGAGATGAAACAGTTAATTTTCCTCACATATCAGGACATTCTCCATCGGTCACCCTGCCGTCGTTCTGGATTTATTCATTATTTACATCATCAATAGAAATTGTTCAACCAGATGTTTATCTTTGTTTTAATTTTCACTTTTATAAAGTCAGATCAAGTCAGCTTACATTACTGTCGTTAAATAAGAGTCACTGCAGGATTTTATTCAGTTTGATCTGAAATAAAATGTCTTGTAAAGAACTTAAGACAGCAGCTTTATTTTATGATTTAAAACAGTTTTTATTTCATATAACTCCAAACACTGAGTTAAAATATGTCAGAATAATATTTGAGTTGGTAAACTGTCAATATGATTCAGGAAGACGGTTAGTTTTTCTCTAAGCTCCACATTAAGTGGATATTAAATGTAAATAATGCAGCATGATCACGACTGTAGTTCTCACTATGGCCACCAGAAAGCGGAAATTCCCGCTCTGAATATAGAGATCAGTTTGTAGAGCTGCAGCTGGTTTCTGACTTCTGTTGAGTTGATCACGTTTATATCTTTCTCATTATAAATATTAATATTAGCATAGTCTGTCTGATGGACTGACAGCTGATTTAATAGATACATGTGTTATTTATGTTTAGATAACATGTCTATATCGTAAGTAAATCACAGTTCAGTTTCCTCTGAAATAAATGACTGGTTTGTTTGTCAACATGGTGAGTTTCCTGTTTAGAGTCAGGAGAATCATTATGAAAATTTTATTTTTCTGAAAAATAGAATAATTGTGATGATTTTGCTTTGAAACTCCATTATACTATTTATGAATAGTGTAAAGAAATTTACACATTCGTTCTTTTCTGGTAAAATAATTAACAAACTAAAATGAACTTACAGGTGAATTCAGTTAATTGTTTTACTTTGAAAAGACCTTTTATATTTAATTTTTCTCCATTAGATATTTTCATCCTGCTCTATACTCTGATCTCAGCGGGTTGGATTTGATCATAAGCACATTTTCATTGTTTCTATCTTTCAGGCTTTGAATCTCAAATTTATCCACAGTTAATCTTTTTGGGAGATTTTTGTGAAGTAAGTTTTATTTTATTTTCCATTTATTAACCTTGCAGTGACTTTTTAACAACATTAATTTGATTTTATTCGACCTGAAAGTGAAATGACTTCAACAAATCATCTGGTTGAAAAATTAATATTGGAATTAGGCTGTACCGGGGAATTGAAGTTTGAAAAAGTGGTTGATCAGTTAAATAGTAATGAGGGGAGGAAGAACATTTTTCGTTTTTTAAAAAAACAGTGGGATTATTTTGAGAATTTGAGAGATGATTAGGATCCAATAGATGGCAGTAGTGCAACAAAAATGGATGCAAGCTGCCGTTAAAACCTAAAGAAGAAGAAGAAAATCATCTGGTTGAGTAATAAGAGGAATATGATGATTCACCACTAGAGGGCAGTGAGCGCTCATAATCACCAAAAACCACCAAACCACCAAAACCTGTTTGTTCTGCTGGTTTTCTGCTGAATCCATGAAAAAAGCTGCTCAGTTTCGGATCTGCTTCACTAAAAGCAAAATCTAAATACTGGATGTTTTCAATCTTTATCCTTGTTGTTTCGCTCTGTGAGTCACGTGACGTCACGTGGAAAAGAAACTGAAAACAACTTTGGTTTCCTTCAGAACAGCGTCCATTTTGAGTCGCAGGATGGAAACAACTTGTAAATAACAGTAAGTGTTGCGCTCCGTGTTTCTCCAGGTCTCTCCGTGTTCTCCGTGTTTCTCCGTGTTTCTCTCGGCTCTCTGGAGCCTTTCTAACCGATGAACCACCGCAGCTTCCTGGGTTCTCCGCCACCGAGTCTGGGTCGTTTGCTGGGATGTTTGTTTTTATTTTTGCACATGTTGAACAGCTGCAATATTGTATTTTATGAGCTTTAGAATAAAGTGGTATGGATGTTAGTGTAGAGTGTGCAAGAATGACCTTTTCAAATTTAACTTAAATAAATGGAGAACTTAAAGTAACTTTTTACAGTGCATCAGTGTTCTTGATGCAGGAACTCTCACTGTAAAACTTATGGGGTTTAAACATAAAAAAATAGAACAGAAACATTGTGAACTAGTTTCTCTGTTTGTTGAAATAAGCAGAAAGTGAATCACATCACTCCGTCCCTCAGCAGTCTGGGGTTCAGCAGAAACATGTTTTTCTTAACTGTCTGTTGCAGGGGATCAGAAGACCCCCTCCATAAAATTGAAACAAATTATTTGACCTGCAATCCTTAACTGTGCTTATTCCTCTCATCATCAAAAATATATCCTGTGATTTTGGTAGCATTTGCTCCTAGTTTGCCAGAGTTATGAGGGGGGAACCATATATTTTAGCCATCTGAAATAATCCGTTCCCCCTCCATAAAATGGGAACAACTTCACTTACCAGCAAGATTTTTTTCTTTGCTTATTCCTCTCATAATCAACAATAACTCCTGTGATTTTGGTAGCATTTGCTCCGTGTTTTCCAGAGTTATGAGGGGGGAACCATATATTTTAGCTGGCTAAAATAATCCGTTCCCCCTTCACAACATGGGTATAAATTAATCAACCAGAAACTCTTTAACTGTGCTTATTCCTCTCATCATCAACAGCAAATCATGCAAATTTGAAAACACTTCATGACTATTTGCCAGAGTTACGAGGGGCAACCATATATTGAAGCCACCTGAAATAATCCGTTTCTCCCTCAAAAAACAGGGGGTCAAATTAATATGTATAATGGTTAATAAATTACATTTGATAACTGTGTTTGATATGTGTCCTTACAAGACTTTAATATAAGAGCACTATGGAAAGATAGTTTAAATCCCAAGGCCACTTACCTTTGAGAAATGAAGAGAACATTTTTCTGGTAAATTAATTTGTTCCCATGTTTTGGAGGGGACACAAATTATTTCAGGTGGCTAAAATATATGGTTCCCCCTCATATCTCTGACAAATGAAGAGCAAATGTTTTCAAACTTACCTGATTTGTTGTCCATAATGAGAGGAATAAACACAATTAAAGACTTGTTGGTATATCAATTTGACCCTGTTTTTTTGAGGGGAACGGATTATTTCAGGTGGCTTCAATATATGGTTCCCCCTCTTAACTCTGGCAAATAGTCATGAAGTTTTTTCAAATTTGCATGATTTGCTGTTGATGATGAGAGGAATAAGCACAGTTAGAGTTTCTGGTTGATTAATTTATACCCATGTTATGAAGGGGGAACGGATTATTTTAGCCAGCTAAAATATATGGTTCCCCCCTCATAACTCTGCCAAACAAGGAGCAAAAGCTACCAAAATCACAGGAGTTATTGTGATGATGAGGGGAATACACACATTTAAGGATTTGCAGTTAAATTAATTTATTCCTATTTTAAACGGATTAAAAGGGGGAACGGATTATTTCAGGCAGCTAAAACAGCTAAAATATTCAGTTCCCCCCTCATAATTTTGGCAACTAAAAAGCAAATGTCACCAAATCCACAGGAGTCATTGTTGATGACGAGAGGAATAAGCACAGTTAAGGATTTGCGGGTAAAATAATTTGTTCCCATTTTGTGGAGGGGAACGGATTATTTTAGTGACGTGAAATATATGGTTCCCTCCTCATAACTCTGGAAAACAAGGAGCAAAAGCTACCAAAATCACAGGAGTTATTGTTGATTATGAGAGGAATAAGCAGAGAAAAAATCTTGCTGGTAAGTGAAGTTGTTCCCATTTTATGGAGGGGGAACGGATTATTTTAGTGACCTGAAATATATGGTTCCCCCCTCATAACTGGCAAACTAGAGCAAATGCTACCAAAATCACAGGATTATTTTTGATGGTGAGAGGAATAAGCACAGTTAAGGATTTGCAGGTCAAATAATTTGTTCCCATTTTATGGAGGGGGAACAGATTATTTCAGGCTGCTGAATCATCCATTCTTTCCTCTCCTTATACCCCATAACCTTGGGGAATAAAGAACAACTGTTTCCAAATTCTCAAAAACCTTTACATACACACCAATTGTTGGGAAAACTGTTTGGTGACTGACTTTTATTTCTGCCAGGCTTACGTTAGAAAAGTTGGAAAAAGAGCGATTCTCTTGGCGTTTAAAATAACAAAAAACAGCGTCAGAAGACCTCGTTTATTTATTTATTTTACAATTTTTCAAACAACAGCTACCAATTAAACTGAATGTTACAACCTTGACATGATTATATAAGTTGTTTTTACTGAGAAATCGAAATTTTTTTTTTTTTTTTTCAATTTGGCGCTGTGGGATACGGCTGCCTCTCCAGTAGCTCTTCAGTTTTTAGCTCTTTTTTAACTTTTTATGTTGCCTCTTCAACACAGAAGAGGCTGTGTGTGTTTTTTATTTATCCTATGGATAATTCCAAACTTCTCACTTATTCGAGAGAGGAACTGCTGGACTTTAGAACAATGGGACAAGCCGGCATAAGACACAACATTCCGGTGGAGTTGAGGAGGAGACCGAGGGGCTGCAAGGCTGGGGCTAAGCTAAAGGCTAAGTAGCGGACAACAGGAGGCGCTACAAGCCATCGATTCCCACTGTAATCATGGGGAATGTAACTCGCTGCCGAACAAGATGGATGAGCTGTCTGCACTGAACAACCAGCGGATCTACAGAGAGAGCAGCTTGTTCATCTTTACAGAGACATGGCTGAACCGCCGGACGCTAACGTGGACCTGCCAGGATTCACCGCTGTGAGGGCTGATAGGGACACGAAAGCGAGTGGTAAAGAAAAGGTGGGGGACTCATCATGTATGTGAACAATAAATGGTGTAACCCAGGACATATCACTGTAAAGACTGTTTGGTGTTGTCGGGACCTCGAGCTACTAGTCGTTAGCTTGCGGCCATACTACCTGCCGAGGGAGTTCAGTCACGTGATCTCCATCTGCGTTTACATCCCACCGAGAGCGGACGCTACCACTGCCTGTGAAAAAATCCACTCTGTCACAGCAAGGCTACAGACAAAACATCCTGACGCTTTTATTATAATCTCTGGGACTTCAACCATGTGACCTTGGACTCTACTTTGGCCACTTTCCACCAAGCTGTTGACTGCCCCACCAGGAATAACAGGACAATCGACCTCCTGTATGCCATGTGAGGGATGCATACAGAGCAACACCCCTACCCCCACTAAGGAAGTCAGATCACAACATCGTTCACCTACAGCCACTGTACACCCCCCTGGTCCAAAAGCAGCCTACAACAGCTCGCTCCATCAGGAGGTGGTCCCTGAGATGGAGAGTGCTCTGAGAGACTGTTATAACACCACGGACTGGGATGCACTGTTCAGCCCGCATGGCGAGGACATAGAGGGGCTGACACACTGCCTGACGGACTATCTGAACTTCTGCGCAGATGTGGTATCCCCTGCTAAGACTGTCCGCTGTTACCCTAATAACAAGCCTTGGGTAACGCGGGAAGTCAAAACTGTCCTCAACAAGAAGAAGGTTGCCTTCAGGGAGGCCATGAAGGCAGCACAGCAGGAGGTGAAGCAGTGTGTGAGGGAAGCAAAAGACAGCTACAGGAGAAAGGTGGAGCAGAAGCTGAGAGAACAACATGAGGGAGGTCTGGGAAGGTGTGAGGACCATCACTGGCCTCAACACAAAGACCAGAGTCGTTGAGGGAACAATGGAGAGGGCAAACCAACTGAACAACTTCTTCAACAGGTTAAACCAGTCTGTGCCCCCCCAACCCCCTCTTTCACTGCAGCCACCTCTGCTCCTTACCACACACCTCCCCACAGACAACAAAACACTGACAACCCCCCCACACACCTCAGCACAACCTCCACCCCACATCACCACAGACCAGGTCAGAGAACAGCTGAGGAAGCTCAAGCCCAGGAAAGCAGCAGGGCCGGACCAGGTGTGTCCAAGGCTGCTGAAGACCTGCGCTGCTGAACTGGGAGAGCCACTACAGCGGATCTTCAACCTCAGCCTGCAGCTAAGGGAAGTGCCCACCCTCTGGAAGACATCCTGCATCGTCCCAGTGCCCAAGAAGAACAGGCCCAGCGAGCTGAATGACTTTCGGCCCGTGGCACTCACTTCACACCTGATAAGACGTTGGAGCGGCTCTTCCTCGGCCTCCTCAGACCTCAGGTGGAACATGCTCAGGACCTCCTGCAATTCGCCTACCAGGCAGATGTTGGTGTGGAGGATGCCATCCTCTACCTGCTGCACCGGGCCCACTCCCACCTGGATAAGGGCAGTGGCACAGTGAGGATCCTTTTCTTGGACTTCTCCAGTGCCTTTAATACAATCCAGCCCCTTCTGCTCCAGGACAAACTAAATAGCATGGGAGTGGACCAGCACCTGGTCACCTGGATCCATAGTTACCTCACCAACAGGCCGCAGTATGTCAGGCTAAAGGACACCGTGTCTGACACTGTGGTCAGCAGCACAGGAGCCCCTCAGGGCACAGTGCTGGCCCCTCTTCTCTTCACCCTGTACTCCTCTGACTTCCACTACAACTCGGAGCTGTGTCACATACAGAAGTATGCTGATGACACAGCCATAGTCGGATGTATCAGGGACGACGGAGAGGAGGAATATCGCTGTCTGGTGAGGGACTTTGCTCTCTGGTGCCACACAAACCACTGGAACTCAACACCTCTAAGACGAAGGAGCTGGTTATAGACTTTGGGAGGTCCAGACCAATGCCGAGACCAGTCGTAC